CAAATAGGCAGCCATGATATGTCATATCGTGTATAGGCTACTACTCAGAGTCGTGTTTTTTTCAATGCGCAGTCCTATTTGTTGTGACAGTGTTTGTCTTTAATGAGTTGCCTTTTCTGCCCACAACACATTGATGACCGTTTGACGTTGAGTTGCCTTTTGTGCCCACAACGCATTGATGACCGTTTGACGTTGAGTTGCCTTTTGTGCCCACAACGCATTGATGACCGTTTGACGTTGAGTTGCCTTTTGTGCCCACAACGCATTGATGACCGTTTGACGTTGAGTTGCCTTTTGTGCCCACAACGCATTGATGACCGTTTGACGTTGAGTTGCCTTTTGTGCCCACAACGCATTGATGACCGTTTGACGTTGAGTTGCCTTTTGTGCCCACAACGCATTGATGACCGTTTGACGTTGAGTTGCCTTTTGTGCCCACAACGCATTGATGACCGTTTGACGTTGAGTTGCCTTTTGTGCCCACAACGCATTGATGACCGTTTGACGTTGAGTTGCCTTTTGTGCCCACAACACATTGATGACCGTTTGACGTTGAGTTGCCTTTTGTGCCCACAACACATTGATGACCGTTTGATGTTGAGTTGCCTTTTGTGCCAACAACACATTGATGACCGTTTGACGTTGAGGTAATAATTACATCGTCCATGGCACTTTATAGTTGCTCACTTTGTGTATGTGGGTGTACACATTTCATTGTCTTCTTCTTCTAGGTTTTGAGGGCCCACGATCAATGAATTGATCATTCTGGCTCCTATTTAGGCAGGTATTCTGTGATTAAATATTATACACATGCATGTATGATTGTTTGTTAAGGTAATGGTATTATTTGTTTTAAATAGCTAGGGTTATCTCATGTGTAGCAATTATGGAAATTTGTATTAGGCAAGCCCATGGTGGTTCAAATCTTAGCATCTTGACCAAGTGTTTCTTCATATATTATACATATATTTGGTGTCCATGGCATTTATAACCTATAAAAACATACTTGTGGCCTGCATTGAGATTCCATCATTGATTCCTCCATAAGGTTCCCCGCTGTTGCTGTTCAAAGTGAGGTGCGCTGGGACGAGCATATTAACAATATGTGTGCAACCGGGAAAACAAGACCTTAGAATCAGCAACTCCAGTGTGAAAAGATTAGCCTATAAAGCCTTTGTCCGGTCGCTTTCAGATTACGTATCTTCAGTCTGGGACCCATTCACCCAGAAGAGCATCGACAGGTTGCCTGCGGTCCAGCGAGGTCCTTAGCGATTCAGGAGGGAACACCTCAAGTGTTGGTAGCATGCTGGAAAATCTGGTCTCGTCACCATTGGAAGAACGGTAACGATTATCCAGGCTCTCTATGATGTTCAAGATAAGAAGAAATGGGCCGGTCCACTGCCCATCATTAAACAGAAACCCGTCCCTCTCCCCTCTAGACAGCGACAAGGCCCTGGCAGGCAGTTCCGGCTTATAACAACAAGAACACAGTACAGGAACTGTTCATTTCCTTCCAAAGGCAACCAGGGACTGGGACACGCTTCCAAAAGTGTATAACTGTTGAGGTGACAACACTTGAAACATTCTCGTCTATGGGCTCCTGCCTTCCAAAACCTCAATTGCTAATATATCGTTAAGTAGCCCTTGCAACCAGTCAAGCATCCTCTTCAAACCCATGCACAGAAACATCGCAAACCCTCTCTACAAACATAGGAGCCAGAATGATCAATACTTTGATCGTGGGTCTTCAAATTAGAGAAGAAGGGGATACTTATTATTATTTTTATTGCATTGGTCATGAATCTTCTTCTCAATAGCTCATTGCAAAAAAAAGTCAGATGGGATTTGGCCTTTTTCATTTTTTACAGAAAGGAAGTTGAGGGAAACAACTTGGCATTAAGCCATTTTTTTTCTTGTTAAGTGCTTTTAAATATTTTTTTTAAAGGCTCAGTTGTGGCAAATCAAAAGTAAACTTCACCACTCTTTGTAAAGATCATGCAATACTACAACTAAAATAACATTATATAAGCATTAACATATATTCAATTAATACGGGATGCTTGTTATGAATTACAATTACATTTTTATGAACATTGAGAATTTTGATATGTTCAAAATATTTGTTTAAAATTTTAGATATTATATTTACTTTTTTTAAAATAAAAATTTGTCTTTGTAGAAAAAAAAAAATTCTCCACAATTTATAGGTTCATCCGCCGGGTTTGTTGGTTTGGCGAGTGCGTAGCCCACCCCGGATCTAAATGGGCCTGAATGAAATAGTCCGACACCCGGTATTAGACAGTAGTGTCCTTGGACATATTCTGACTATTCAGAAAACAATTTTTTTGTATCGTGTTACGCAACATCTCGACGCTCCCTGTCTTAATTATCCTGATAATTTCTCAAAATTTATGTTAACTTGATATATGAGATGCCCACAAACCATTGATGACCTCTCCACAATAGACAGCGACGAGGTCATGACAGGCAATTCCGGCTCATACCAGCAAGAAGCCAGTAAAGGAGCTGCTCATTCCTGCCCAAGACAATCAGGGACTGGAACAATCTTTCAAAAGGAACGGTTGAAGCGACAACACTAGACACATTTGTGTCTTATTGCCTCAAGCCTTCAAACCCCTAGTGCATGATTCCCTCACAAAGTTTGCACAAGAAATCAATGAAATGTCCTCATCAACAACAGGAACAGAAACATTGCAAATCCCATCTACATGCATAGGAGCCAAAATGATCAATAAATTGATCGTGGACCCTTAAGATTTAGAACAGTGGTTCTCAACCTTTCTAGTGCCGCGACCCCTTAATACTGTTTCTCGTGTCGTGGCGACCCCCAAGGCCACACCATTATTTTCGTTGCTACTTCATAGCTGTAAGGATATATGTTTTCAGATGGTCTTAGGCGACCCCTGGAAAAGGGTCCCGTGACCCCCAAAGGGGTCGCGACCAACAGGTTGAGAACCGCTGATTTAGAAGAAGAAGAAGAACAGATGTGTATATTGATATCATATTGCGTGTTACAATGGAAGGGGGCGAAGAGGGACCGCTCCAGGCGTCAAAATCAAAAGGAGGTAGGGGGGGTGCAAAATGTCTCTACATAGGACCTTAATAGGGAATTAAACGATAAAATGGGATTCACAAATAAAAAAAAAAAAAGAAAAAAAAAAAGGAAGGGGGAGTATTTTTAATGGTCCACTCAAGGTGGCACGTTTTTCTATAAAATGAGGGGCATCATTTTCAGGCTGCGTCCTGGGAGCCTTTTTTGCTTGACAAAGCCCTGGTTTAATATTGCAGTTTGGGATATAAAAAAAAATGCTTATATATCTCATATCGTACACGTTTAGTTTAAATAGGTCATTTATTCTATCGAAATTAGGTACTATTTTATATATGATATATGTTAATTTGTACGGTGAATTCTCAAACTGGAAGCGAAAATAAAATATGAGTACCTTTAGCTACAGCAAGGCCTTATAGAAAATCCTTCCCCACTCATCTTACTTAATTAATACAGAGAGTAAGTACTTTAAAACTTTGTAAAATTAAACTTTCGTTGTTTTTATTGAATCGATTTGTTAGAGAACGAATTTGGAGACGTTTTTGAAGGATGTAATTAATTGATGAATTTATTAACCAGAGTATTAGTTTTATTACTTTATTTATTACTAGATAGAGCCCGCCAAACATTGGCGGCGTAAACTTCCACCTAGTAAAGTTACTTGACAAAACTTGAACTCAAGTAACGCACATTTAAGAATCCCAATATTTGCTACACCCCTTCTCCCATGATACGTCATTGCACACTTTTTATTTCACGCCCATGAACTATACTATATTAATATTCTCATGTCATCATATCCCAACCACTTTTAAACCGAATATTTTTTACACAATACATAAATTGAGACGATTTCATTTCCGAAAAGAAAATATTACGCACCAATTGCAATTGCGATATTAAAAATAGATATATATCATTTAGAGTAGTTATCGGGAATTATATTTTGCGCGCTAGTGAACTCATTATTTAACCACACTCTGGCGTATCTATATAATGTAGCCTGCGTGTGGTGTTTGTCCTTTGCTGGCGAATTATATATAGGCCTATAGATTTTTTATCACACCATTCTTAACATATAAGAGCACTACAGTTAGTTATTTTATCGTCCATTAAAAAAAAACACAACAAAACCTCATAACAACTTTTCTTTTGCCACTCTCATTTATTTTAACGCTCTTTAACTCTAAGTGACAGTTAACATTTTACTAATTTCTTTTTTATTATGATGCGGAGTCCATCTTTAAAGTGTGGGGCCTAACATTATTTTAATATTTTTTTTAAAGCTACATCATAACAACCTACATTATGGATTGTTTCGGAAATTCAATGATTAACAATAACATCTACACACCTCTTCTTTTAAATAGTTTATGGTGTTAATTTTAAAATATATGTAGGCCCTATCATGTTATTTTGTAAAAATAGTAATGACACGGTAGATAACTGTGAGAATATCTAAAGATTAAGATTGCAAGTTGCCTCTCTCTTTAAAGAACACTGCAAGAGTTTGAGTGCATTGACGTCACAAAATACTCACAAGAGTTCCATTATGTTATGTTCGTCTTCTTGCCGGCTTGGCATTTATATCTACTTTCAATGAACCACCAAAATCTAAATTATTAGGTGATTTTTTAAAATTCTAAAATGCGTGATTAAATATTATGAAAAAATTGAAATACTTCATATATTTCTTACATATAATTTAATATTTTCTTGCTTTTAGATCAAACATTATTGTTTCAATTCTAAATTTATTTTGAAAACTATTAGATTATACAATACACTGAAAGACGTAGATTTATTTTAAAATATTTTAAAAGTTGTTGTTAAAAACCCTTATGCTATATTAAGAAACAGAAACTGCGAAAAGAGGGATAAATATACTTAATTATCAGGTTAAAAGAAATCTGGTAGCTGGATGGGTGCACCTGAATCCTGATTTCCGCTTTCTCAATAGACCTTTGTAAATTGTATGGAAAGGATGGCAAGACGCCGAAAAAGTCTCAAGTTACACAAATAATGTGACATATGTGTTAAATTGTTAATTAATAATTAGAGAAGGCTTTGGAAAACCATCGTAAATGTATATGATGGGGAATTCTGACAGCCGCAACCTCGACCATGGACACAACCGTTATGACAGTCGTGGAGCTGGGCTGGAATTACAACGAAAACCATCGGTTCCGGTACCTCGTCTACCGATGCCAGACGGACAGGAACTGGAAAGAAGATTTACAAAAGTGCTAGTATGTGTGTTTTGATATTTTCTTTACAGTAAATATGTAGCTTCATATCCTGTATAGGCCTAACAAGTTGTGTACATTTACCATCCACACTTAGAATACCCTCATTCAGTGAAAGTGATTATTAGCTAGTACTAGCATCCTTCAACTTTATAGAAGTTCAAGACACCAAAACAATGACCAGAGGCCAGTCTTATCTAAGGTTATATAGACTATTGAATTGACTGTCAAGTTCCTCTAAATATTTTCTATTGACAAGTAAGCATTCACTCTAGCATAGTCATACTACCAACATCATATCATCAAAGGAGGAAATGTTCCTTCATGTTTATTTCATACTCATAGATGAATTAGATGAAACCAAACATGACACACTCATTATTATTATTGTCAAAAATGTCATTTTTATTTATGTATATATATCATATCATGTATTCACTAATATCACTAGGCCGGCCACTTCACTGATAATTTATCTAGTTTTCAGTCAGTCTTTATACCTAGCTAATAATAGTAATTACTATTACATTCTTTGTGAGTGACAAACAATCCGCTGATTCAAATAATTTAAAATTTAGGGCCCTAAGCTTAATTACTAGGAATAGGAAGCCAAATTTTATCACTAATAATTATTTAATAGCCTGATTATTTTCTTAGTCTTAATTGTTTGTGACACATATAATTAGTTATATGAGTGGTATGGGTTATGAAATTATATACAGCCATAATTTTGTTAATACTTTTTAAGGTTAAGGTTTTTAGGATTTGCTTTCTCACAATTTATGGGCTATTTTTAACTTTGAAAATCTGATTAGACCTAAACTTAAATCCCAAAAGGAAAGAATATATTATAGGACCTACACTTAGAAAAAAAATAAATGTTGTTATGTAGGCTACAAAGTAGTTTTACGATGTTATTGATATTGAATATTGTTTACTTACTTAATAATATTTAACTAGTAGGTCATCCATAAATGACACCACATATCTTTGTGGTTTGGAGGGTGGGGGGTGGTTTAAAACATTTGTGATTAACATGTCTATCTTTGTACAACAGTTTGTGAAATAGGGGAGTGGTGGGGACAAACATCAGCCTAAATAGTGTGATGTCATTATGTCAAATACTTTCTAATAGTCTGTTAAAAACTAGTACTTTAAAATCTATGATTATCAAGTCAATGTCTTTCTTTTATCATGTGTTAATTATGTGTCTACGGCTATCACAGTTTGGTACATATCGTTAAGTCAATATTAAAAAATGTCTTTGGTAAAAAAAATTGTCTTCTTCCACTTTGATTTTCCTACTCTAAACATCATATGAAGCCAAAAAGTACCTCACAACCAAAGCCAACACTTATTTTAAAAATTGTCTTTATATATTTATTGTAACATAATTTATATTTTCACAGACTTCTATGGATTTACCTCCAGACAAAGCTAAAGTACTTAAAGGATATGATGATGAGAGGAAATGGGACCTGATATGTGATCAGGTAAGTCAATAGCCATACTACTCAATGACTTAATGGTTATGAATTATTGTTTTACGTAATTTTTAGAATTTGTTTGCCAAATTTTTATTTTTAGAAGGAAATGTTTTTTTCTTCTGTTTTTGAAGTTACATTTTAATCTTTACAAAGCCCTTCCAGACTTACACTTTACTCTTCATCGGGTAGGTTTACCCAAAAAAAACAGGAAAAAAAAATGTCATCAAGGAGTTCCTGAAACATGATAAGACTTAAGCTTTAGGTCACATTAACAAAATATTTAAGTAAATAATACAAAAAAATTAATCACAAATGAAATTAAAAAAACTAATTACAATGCAACAAATTGTTGATACTATAAGGGTCATATATCTTCAAGTTTGATATCCCTGAATTGTGTAATTATTGAAGCAGGAACTAAGTGTCAAATCAAGTTAGTAGTAAGTTTCAGAAATTATATAGATATACTCCTTTGTATAGATATTAATTTATCTAAAAATGAAAAAGATAAAAATATTAAAAAATCTGTCAGTGCCTTGTTAATCTTACTTCAGGACACAAATGGTATGTACATATTATGATGAAACAGTGTTACCTTGTCTCAACCCTGATTCAGTTTTTTCATCAAAATTGAAAGCTTGATATTTTAAAGAAATGTTAATCCATGACACATTTGGTACAAGTAAAATCATGTCATGTGTTTCATTTGAAATAACAACAAAATTAGTTTGGTTCTTTAGATAAAATTATAAATGTGTAAGTCTAGCATACTATAACTTTTGTTTTGGATTAAATTCATAGGACTTTTTAATTTACAGCAAGAGTATTGATTATTAAAATGAGAAAAAAACGTACAAAAGTCTTGACAGCTAAATGTTTGTATTTTTTCATTGGTTGTAAAATAGTTTAGCTTCCTAAATACCATTCTTAAGGGAATAGTTTTAACCATCTTTAAGATTTAAAAGTGTTCAAAAGTTTTTTAAAATTAGTTTTATTTCTTCAAGCAGTGTCAAAAAGCTTAACTTTAAATAGTATGATTTTAATCAAAATTTACTCCTGGCATGAAAATGTAATGTAAGATTGTATTAAGTATGGAAGCCTTGTAAACACACAGTACAGTCCTCACTTTGAGGTGTATATTGTTCCAGACCCTCTGGTTCAATCTAGATATAGGAGCTGAAGCTTTAGCCATGTTATCGTTCACTTATTTATCAATGAAGAGTTAGAAAGGGGACCCAAGATATAAAAAGTTCTTCCACGTTGTATCCCTTGACGACAGTGGTGGGACGCGTATCTGCTTCTTCCGTTTGTCTTCTTTAGGCTGATGTTCAGTCCAAAATCTTTGCACGCATGAAGGTGGCTGTAGTCCATTTTCTATGTGATATTAAGGCTAAATCATCCAGAGCAGTTAGGCATTGAAAATTTGTGGCAGAAAGATTAACAGTAATTAACAGCTTGCCATCCAACCTAGTGTGGATGTACACCAGTTGGTTGTAGTCTTTAGAGCATACTGGAAGGACATGGGGAAGAAGTTGAAAGAGAGTCAGTGCAAGAACACAGCCTTGCTTTATTCAACTGACTGGCAAGATCTCTAATGTAATGTTCCTGTTCCCACTCCTGTGTAAGCGCATGATTACAGTGAGCTCTACTGGGGGACAGCTAGAGCTTGGAAATTTTGCTTTTGCCGACCAAGTAAAATCGATAATTAAGTATATGAAAGGCATCTGCTGTTAAAGAACATTCTCCTTAGTACTTAGTACTCATTTAAATGCTAAATATATACTGAATACATTAATGTATGAAAAGTGCTGCGAGGATAAATTATTTTGTTTAGGTTTCCCCCATTACAAAAGGGTTGAAAAAAACCTATTTTGACAATAACGGCTCTCTTCTTCATATGAAACAACAGCCAATTTACCTGGCATTGCTTAGGTTTGCATTTTAAAAAACCTTCATCAGCTTTATCAGGTAAAAATGAATTGAATGGCTTTTAAAAATATATGTTCTAAAGAACCTATCAAAATTTATAAAGTCTCCTATAAAAAGTTAAAGGAATATTAACTTTTGTAAACATTTTTGGACCCAGCCAGTTTCATTTAATATTCAAGTTGGGCCTCGTCAAAAACCATGATGTAGGGCCTTGCCAAATCCATGATTTAAAAACTAATCTAACTTTTAATAGTTGTCCCTTTATAAAAAAATGATTCACCACTGTCAACGCTATGGCAGTTTATCACTCAAAATGAAATAGGATCTTTGTGGGATTCCGTTTCCTGTTGGGTTTTCATTCCCTATGGGCATTCCATTCCTGTGGGATCCTATTCCCTGATGGATCCCATTCAACTGTGGGATCTCATTCCCCAGGAATCCAGTTAAAGTTAACCCTAAGATAGGGAGGCCAACTTTGGCGATACCATTTCATTTAAGTTAAAAGAGGGGCCCATTTCATAATGTGCCGTTTTAGTTATGCCTAAGATAGTTTCAGATAAATAATGGAGTTTAAATTTAAGAGTTTTCCCATTAAAAATGGTTGAAAAATTATGGAGACCTAGCCTTTTAAATTATTGAACTTTCTGGAAAATTCCAAATGGAGTGGATGTTTTCATTTTAAATCCACCCATATTTCAATATGGATTATGAAAGGTATGACTACCAAGCTTGGCCTAATTCATGTAGGTACCTATATTATTAACTAAGCCGACTTTTATTTATATAGATTATATATAGAACAAACACAACCACCCTTTTTGGGATTGCATTCTTTCAGCTAATTCACTGAAATATCACATTAGGAAATGGCATCAGTGAGCCAAGGGTCTTTATGCTCTCCCCAAAACACCCCCCCCCCCCCCCAAACCCCCCCCCCCCCCCCCCGAAAATCGGGCCGCAAAGCAGCACGTTGGAGATGTCCCTTTGCCAGGACAGCCCCCACCTGAGTCCGCTTGATCGGGTTACGCTGGAGGCCGCCCCAACCCAAAGACACCTGGCCGGTCCACTCGATTGACTGTTTTAGGAGTCGGGATGGTAAATTTACGTCCTAATATCTTCCCCCACCCATCCCGGGGAAGCTTGGGACGCCCTTTAACAGGGGTTCTACAGTGGATGTCCAGCCCACAAATAGTTTGCGAAGTAGCTGGGACAAAACGGTTACTTAGGAGCAGCTTTCTCAGGGCTGCATAAATAGAATCATCGGCCAAAGACTTCCACCTTAGCCTCTCACCTCATATCTATTAACGGCAACTTGTAATCATGGTCCCTACCCTGTCACTGCCTTTACGTCGATCTGTAAAAAGTCACAGTTGGCAGCCTTGTAGGTGCTGTTTTATTCAGGCAGATATCATGCATGTCCCTTGTCTGCCCACGCAGGACACGCAAAGGTAATCTTGTTCCCCGGGTAATGCCGAATGTTCCTTTTTGTCGGACGCTTTCTAATGGGCAAGCCACCATAGGCTTGTGAACCGGAGCCCCGGAAACACATCTAAATTACTAAAGCTTTTGATATGTCTTTGATACTTTTCCACAACCATGCTATGTCATTAGGATTTGCAAGATACTGAAAGAGTTGGTTGTAGAGTGTGCCTATTGGTTGTGTGTCTTGGTTTCCCCCAGAAAGTATCGTATGATTGTTCCTTTGGTGTCCTATGTATGCTTCTTATAACTCTCCAATGTTAAGTTAAATAGCATATAAGACAGTAAATCTCCTTGTTTTTGTCTCATTTAGTCTGAAATTCCCTTGAAAATTCACCCTGAACGTCAATAGTTTATGTCTGAGTGTGTAATTGTTTTCCTCCATATTTAATAATAATAAGTTCTGCTGTGATGAGGTCTTCTCCAGGGGTTTTGTGATTTTTCATAGAGTTGATTACTTCTGTAGTTTCTTCCAAATATAGGGAGTTTATTAGGGTGTCTGGTCCTCCATGATATGGTTCATAACCGTGTCCATTGTCAGCTTTTAGTATTTCCTCAAAATATTCATCCCACCTCTCCAGTACTTTACTATTTCTCCGTAATTAATTCTCCAACTTTGTTCTCATACATTTGAGGCTTACCTTGGTATCCATTCATTTTATCTCTTATCTTCATATACATTCCTCTAATATTTCCCTCTCTTGATTCGTCTTCTATTTCTTTTTCTTCCTGCTAATTTTGGGGGCTTTGGTTCTGTTTTTTTTGTTGTATATTTGTCTTGTATTTCTGGTTACCATTTGTATAATGGTCATTTGTGCTTTGTTCCTTTCTTCAATAATCTCTCTACATTTATTATCAATCCACCCTACTCCACTCTTAGTTTGTTGAAATCCTTCTACTTTTTGTGCTTATGTTTTTATAGCATTTTTTATCCTATCCCACTGTTCATTTATGTTGTTTTCTGTATATTTTTTCATGTTTATTTCTTCCTGTGCTTGTACTTATTTCTGGTAAGCTTTTGTGGTTAGTGGGTCTTTGGTACGTTTTTTGGTAATTATATAGTTTTTCTCTTTGATTTCGGTCATTGTATATTTTGCTTATTTTCTGCTTATACTTAACCCATAAAAGCAGATGGTCAGAGTCTGCATCTTATATCTAGTATGTTTGAACTGTGCCTTTGATCGATTAGAACATGTTCAACTTGATTGTGAATTACAAGTAACTTTATATATATCTGGTGAGTTACAAGTAACTTCATATATATATATTGTGCTGAAACTTGTCGCTGCTGTTATCCCTTTTCTTTAAGCAAAGTCTGAGTCGGATCCTGTTGTCATTATTTTCTTCATGTAGAATATCCTTGCCAACAATTGGCTTAAACACTTTCCCTATTTTAGCATTAGTTGCCAATCACTATTTTAATATCAAGTTGTGATGTCTCATTATAGATCTTTTCCAGTGTCTCATAAAACGATTCTTTTATCTGACCTTATGTATCTTTAGTGGGATCATGAACATTTATACATGTTAAACATTTTCCCTTGCACACTCAAGCTTAAAATCTATGACTGCACAGATGGCTTCTTTCTTCAAAACAAATGCTTTTCCAAGATTGTTGGTGTTGTTGCCACTATAAAATATGGTGAAGTCTTTTGTCCTGAGGATTTCAGCATTTCTCCATCAAATTTCTTGCAGGCAGCATGAGAAATTGTATATTTAATTTGTTTCTCTTATTAGGTTGGTTAAGGCTCCTGCTTTAAACAAGCTTAGTAATGTTCCAAGTTGCAATCCAAAAATCATGTCCATATCCAGGCATAGGTCCAATTCCATCTGGGTTTAATTATTTTCTTTGGCTTTTGTAACCTTTAATTTTTTTAAAAGGTCAAGTTTTTAGCCCTGTGCTCATCAACCATGGGGGGCTGGGGGGGGGACTTGCCCCTTATAGCTCTCAAAGTAGCTGCCTTTATTTTCATGTAAGATTCCTAGCCTTTCTGAATCCTTCCACTTCCTACAAGGCAGTAGGTTCTGATTTTGTTTCACCCTAGATATTATAATCCCCCCCCCTACCCACCACATCTGATGGGCTTTCCCCTATCTACCACCTGGGCAGGGGCTCAATGGAAGATTAGTATCTCCGCACGACCATAAGCTTTAGATCCCAATATATTCCTTCGTTAAACAATATAGAAATTTCTGTAAAATTCTAGGTTATATTTAATTAAACTTATTCTTGTAATTGTCTTTAAATTGTATTTGAAATGACAGACACTAAAACTGTTCAATGGTTCAGAGAAAAAACACACTAATAATATATTTTGTTTCTGTACAGGAACGAGTTCATGCCAAAGACCCCCCTCACGTGTATCTGGAAAAGCTCAAAGCATATTTGGATCCTAAAGCAACCAGAAGCTCTAGGGTAAGTGGCATTAAATTTTTTGGGGGATAGAGATGTGACGGACATGTTGTCATGTAATATTTTCATACCCAGGTTATATTTGATTAGTTAGCCAGGTAATAGGAGAGTCCTTTCACAAGTCTGATACCATGATATTTTCAATATTTCATATGCTACTCAAGTCCTGGGACTATCCACTCAGCTTTGCTCTTTACCATTGCATAACTTGCCTTTATAAATGCAATTTTTTTAAATGCCTTGTTACTGCTCAGTTAATTCCTATATATCTTTAATTTCCCATTTCTTTTTTGGTTCTTTAATGACTGAGGTGTTATTTTCCCTATAAAGTTTGTCATAATAAAAATTATAAAAACAAACAAAACAACACTATTGCCTAAGATAATAAAATTAAATTTGAGTGTATATTTAAACAAGACAATAATTTGAATTTCAGTGTGTATCCAAAGTGTGTAGCATTTTTACAAGTTTAGTTAAAAGTAAAAAAACAAAAACTTTCTATAAATTATCATTCACAGATTCTCAACTATTCATATTTTGGGTGTTATTTGCTGTCCTTAGCAGGCATTTATTGGGCTTAGTAAAGTATTGCTATTTTCCAATTGTTTAAAATGCAATACCATTACCTCAATGTCAGGACCAGTTGAAAGGTGCTGCTCAATTATATATTAAAAACTGTCATTTACTATTTGGCATAATTACGTGAGCTACAGTAAATGGACAAGTTAATAATGTCTGAGATTGTTAGACAGGCTAAGATGGTAAAGATGTTCCTTCATATACATCTCCCTGTACATCTTACTGAGCATCTACATGTACACCCCGCATTACTTCATATTATAGTATTCTCTAGTAAATAGTGTTTACTAACAATGGTAAAAGGACAGACCTGCAGGCACACATCGATTTTTGTAAAGTGGTATTCAAAAATATAAGTTTACATGGGTCAAATTATTTTTCTTTTATATTAAATAAGAAAAAACGTATGGAATTACTTTGTTAGATTGTGAAAGTTTGTTAGGTTAATACATGTACCGAGCTAACAGTACCAAACAAAATACTGTTTCGTCTTTCTGTCTATTTATTGTGGCCCTGCTGAGTTATGGATGACTTGGCGAATGACTGATAAGCTAAAGCCTCCGCCCTGTTGAGAGAACCCACCCAGTGCCTTGCTCATGGACAGTGGAATAAATGCATGATGCTGTACTGTTGAGTAACAAGTGGGTTCTCCAACATGGCTAGCTGGTTGATGGTGTCATTGTGTATGAGGCATACGATTGAAATGAGGAGATTTAGACTTGACTGGGATTTTCACATTAAACCAGTTTAGTATAATACCCAGTGGTAAATCCAGTTAAGCCGCTATGACGAGATTCATACGAGTAAAAGAAACAGCTACCAAACATGTATTACTGCTTGGATGGATTTTTTTTATTGAACTTTATTACTAACGGTTTAAATTTATGCTGTTCACCTATTTAATAATTCGTTTATTTACATAACAAGAGCTTAATCATTGTAATAATCAGTATATTTAAATATGATTAAAAATCAATAAATTTCAGACATCAACCAGGGGTGGGGGGGGCCTCCCCAATCCACATCATTAAGACTAAGACGATCCATGTCCATTCCAATTTCCTAACATAATTGTCAAGCATGCGAGTTGTTTGTTTTTAAGTAACGATTAGATCGTGCTTTTTACCTTGCAGCTAAGTCCTAATGGGAGAGCTGATTCCATGGGGTACTAGGTACCTCTCCCCTTTTTCAGAAAGCTGAAAAAACATTCATCATTAACTAACGAAACCGTACGGATGTTTTATGTTAAAAAATTTGGGAATCCCTTAATCTCGTCTCTTCATTTCCATTAACTTTGTGAGTTACCCAATTAAGCTGTTTAATACTGGCATGACCCTAACTCTTTAACATACCATTTCTATTTCAGCAAGCAATGTGTATAGCCATTCACACAATGGTGTGTAGCTTTACGTTTCTCCGCATGGCTCTTCGTGTCAGAGCTTTTGTTTATTGTGTTTATTTTTTCCTTACCGCGGGCCAGTTATTATTATTACTACTAGGTGGATATGTTGTGGATTCTTTACATTGATTTTCTTTATGGTGTCTATATAATCTCTGTTTCTTATTTCTTTCAGAACTATTTTTGTCAAATTCTTTCACTAAAAGAATAAAAGATTATTATTTTTGAATGTTTCTTTACTAAATCTTCCTTTTTATGTCATCTGTTTACGTGCAATGATAATGGAGACGAAACTGTTTACGAGCAAATTCACTGTTTTTTTAAAAAGTTTTTAATATTGTTGCGTTAATTACGTTTTTGTTTTTATTGAAATGTGTGCGCTCGCTCGCTACATGTTTGTTTTGGAAAGATCTATATTGTTTTATAGTCAAGACTTAATTGCTTCGTGCGTTTCGATCAACACATACTGGCTTTACGTTTTTCCTTTGTTTCATTTGCAATTTAAAAAGTTGAATGCAGGCTTACGAAACAACCAAACTTAAATTTGGAGTGTGCTTATAAACTATAAACGAACGAATGAATTCATTTACACATTAGCTGCATGGTGTCTCAATGTTAACTGTCCGAAGGCTTATGTGTGTTACAACAAACACACTGTGTGCAGTAATTGTTTATATCCAAGGATCCACTATTTTATACTTACATTCAAATGTAACGACTTCTAGAAGTCGAGAACCCCTCCTCCCCGTTTAGTTATTTCAATGTAGCAAATCATTGGCGGTCGATTTATTTATGACATAACACTCCACCAGAATTAAATTAATTTTTATAAATGAGGAATTTAAAATGAAATTATATAGTTAACGTAAAACAAAAAGTATCATATGGGGAAAAAGGTTGAAGTAGAAGGTTGTTTCTGTTGGGAGGGGACGGCTGACAACTGACACAATCGCCGTCTGGCAAGGGAATGTTCTCAAAATAGGGTTAGTCTGCCTACGTCTGACGGTTTCTAGTTCCGGTCTGCCTTCTTGGTGTCAAGGAGAACATGCTTTATTCCGTATTTAAATTAAAAAATGCGGCTTCTCAAGTAAACTGCCTAGACTACACACTTCGCTAGACTGAGTTAATTCCCCCCCCCCCGTTTTTTTTTCCATGTTTTTTTCTCTATTACCTAAATTCCCCTCCCCCACACTTTTTTTTACTAGCTTTGGTGTCAAGGAGAACATGCTTTATTCCGTATTTAAATTAAAAAATGCGGCTTCTCAAGTAAACTGCCTAGACTACACCCTTCGCTAGACTGAGTTAATTCCCCCCCCCCCCGTTTTTTTTTCCATGTTTTTTTCTCTATTACCTAAATTCCCCTCCCCCACACTTTTTTTTACTAGCTTCGTCGTCGGTCTGTAAAGTGGTCTCTTAAGAATAAGTTGAGATATCCTGTCGTGGCCGTACATATGTATTATTGCCATAAAGTAAACACAGTTTCGCTTGGATAACTCATATAACTAGTATACATTTCTGGTAGATTCATCTAAGTCGGGATTTAAATTAATCATACGATCAATTATTTCCAACACCACTGCCCTAAAGAAAGAGAAGTCCTCATTGATCGCTTACTTACTGTCAACCATACATTTGTGAGACACCATGGCTTGTTCGGCCAAAATACCAGATCTTAGGATCCCTTTGACGTTCTTCTTACTTGGCTCTCCATCACGGGAAGCTGACTGAGAGGTTCTCCTACTCGGCCGCGATGGTTTTTGTAGGCACCCTTAGCCGCTATCACTTACGGTACTATCAATATGTTCAAACCTCATTCACTAGTTAGTCGAACGTTGCTGATGTTAGTTCTCTGATCTACCCTGGGTTTATTCATGTTGCTTAATCCTTAATGTTTTGAAGAAGAAAAAAAAAACGCCAGCTCATTATCTGCGTTTGTGTGAAATAAATGAGTGTAAATGAGCACTATGTATAACTTCTTAGAGTCGTAATATAAGAGAAAAATTATAATAGACAAGCCATTAAAATGTTAACTCATCGTCAGAGAGGATCGCTTAGCCTTTGACCTAGACAGGGGTCGGGAACATTTTTTTGACTGAGAGAGCCATGGACACCCCATATTTTGAAAAGTAATTCTGTGAGAGCCATACATTATGTTTAAAACTAAAAATTCAAGTAAATGTGTGCATTTTGTGTAATTTCAACACTAAAAATGTAAAATAATTGTGTCTCTGAATTCTTTTAAATAAAATTGTTATCAATAATGAGTATTTCTTACCATTAATGTGACTTTTTTTTTATAATCGAACATTTTGTCTGCGAGCCAGTTGGAGCCATCCATAGAGCCACATCTGGCTCGCGAGCCATAGTTTCCCGACCCCTGACCTAGAACTAATGGAACAGGTCACAGTGACCGTATTTATGTACTCTCAACCATATCACTGCTGTTTTCTAGAATACAAAGCATGCGCTACTAATCATGAGTTAAACTGTGTCGAAAAGATGAATGATCTTAGAAGCATACGGAAGATCCAGCCGCCCGATGACCTGATTACCCACACACTTACATTCGCCGTTTCTTTTTTCTTTCTTTTTTTTTTTTCCTTCTTTTATGGCATCCTGTTTCTTCCAGCACCACTAGTTCGCACGTTCGTCTAGCTCAGGGGTCCTCAATCGTTTTAATTAGGGGGCCGATTCATTGTCGCTCAGACATTTGGGTGCTGGTCCACTGTCCCACAGACACTGTTGCCGGCTGGACTATAGTCTGAAAAAAATATGATTAAAAATTCCCATACACACTCCCACATCTTATTTGTAATAAGTACAATACAGTACAATATTTTAAATGAACAGTTTTAATCAACATCAAGTTATTAGTATTTCAATGGGAAGTATGGGCCTACTTTTGTAAAAATAGGTCTGCAATCTCCGGTTCCATATTTGTCACTGCTACCTGGGTAACCGAATGACGTCCAGGCGGACCGAAGGACACCTGTAGGGCTGGATCTGACCCGCGGGCCATAGTTTGAGGACCCCGTAGTGGTCTAGTTTGTTAAATTCTTCACTGACTCGCGTCTCCCTGCCGCCCACCCCCACACGCATAACCCATCATGAGAATCCAACAGCCCGACGTGCCGTTATTCGCACCCTTTCACCCAACTTTTCCCCATTAGAGTACATGAGACAGGTGAACTCCCCGATGTTGTTGAGCAGCATGTACACAAGCATATTTCAACATGTATACATGGAATCCACAGATTGCTTACTGATACTGAAATCGCTCGTTAAAGATTAAAGAATACAACAAGACTTTTTTTTTCTTAAATGGCTTTCATATCAATTATTAATCCATTTCTACTAGTCATATTTTATTTTTATGAACCCGAAGGAAACTAATTTTTTTTTAAAACTCAAGGTCACCTGACTACGTCACACCCCAGACCTTCTTAACAATGTCATTCATTTTTGGAAGGATGTTATCTAATAGTATATAATAAGCTCTATAGGATCACTTCTTCTTAAAGGGTGTCTATACAAATTTTGATAATTAAAATCATAATTAATACATCGAAACCTGTGGATCTTTCTCTTAGTTGCAAAACCTATCGAGCTAGGAATACAATGTATGCTAATAATGTACCAGTAATAGTTCCATGTAATCAAGTCAGCATTAGTTTGCGAGACTGTTGCGTTAAAAAAAAACCTCGCGCGCGTCAGCTAGCGTTAAAACTATTTCTCTTGTGAGCACTTCCCTTTTAAACAATCTACGGGATCCAACTCGCCGAAATATGTGTCAAGTTCTGTACGATGATGTCAGTAGATTTATGTTTGTAGTAGCATGAGTGTAACTCTGCCTGTCTTATCATTGTCATGTTTTTATCAACTATGATCTCTTCATTGTTTTGTTTTTTAGTTTTCAGTGTTCTTTTTCAGCAGTGCAAAATCTTAGTTATAATTAGTTTAATTTCCATTAAATGTTCATTTTCACGGGTCATGATCACCCATACGCATTATATTACTCTGTTAATAAATACAATCTGTCATTTCCCAACTGAAGAGCCGTCCATAAAGTATGAGTTGAACAAGCGTGTAATAAGCATGTCACCTTCTTCCCGATTTCCCCCTGATGACCGAATAAAACTTAATGAAGTAAATAAAATTTACGTAATTAATTATAGGTTTATTTATTATTTATGCTCTTGAATTTAATAAATCTACGGTGTGTGTCAGTGGGTCCCGGGTTGAGATTCCACGTTTATTAGATTTACTTTTGTACATCCTCTTTGATGCGTGTCAACTCGTCATGATCATCACTACCACACACGATTGCTCATCTTACGCTGGTTAGTTTATGGCGGGCAAAAATTACTCATGCGTGAAGCGGAAACGTTTCTTTCATAAAGGGGTGTGTGGATGAAATTACCTTTACAGTATCATGAGTCATACAATCATACAAAAAGAGGGGGGGGGGGCGTCGTTTCGGTTAAATACAAAGTGCTTATAAGGAAGTAGTTTGCGTGTGTGGTGACGATAGTGAAATTTTCCCTTGAGCCGAGTTTCACTTGCCCAAATACCATTCACGTTATTTGTAACTTTGCAGTTTTTGCTGCAATCTAATAGAGAAATATATGTTCAAATTCTCAAAATAGTCATTACTATACGGAGTTTCCCGAACAGTCTGTTCCGTTTCTATCATACGGTTTTCAAAGGGGGACAGGAACACGTTTATTAAGACGTCACTAGGGATCTATTGTAACACTAAAGTTTTTTAATAAAAAATAAAGGGAGTTAATTGTTGAATAAAAATTCAGTGAAATTTATCATTTCATATGCGCCATATTAAACTACAGTTTGGGAAACTCTTTCTTCCACCACGACCGCTAATATTGTTTTCCTTGAACTTTCCTAGATTCCAGTGCCATTTATTGTAAGTACTGGCGAGGTCACAACTATTACGGCATGCAGCCAGCTTTCTAACAGCTGTAGTAGAGTTTTATTACACACTTTTATTAACGTTTACTGTACTACCAATCCTTGTTGAACAGAGTCTCTCTGTTGTCGGTTTGCCTTGAGCACCATTGTCATCTTGTTGTTTGGTGTATGTCTGCATCACAAACCTGTCGTTTATCTGGTTGATGTATAGTTAAGTAAGCTGGGCGGCCGTTCTGTGTAAACATGAGAACTGCCAGGATTTCTTAACATGTAATGACCTGAAACATTCTACCAGTCATTTAGATCACTGATTAGCAGCCATGTGCAGGCGAGACACTTTAACAAATTACACGATGTTGCGTCTCCCAGTTGAATACAATAACACGGACCAGCCAGAAGTGCTTGTGGGGGGATTGTTGGGGGGGTGTCATAGGGTACTAGCCCGTCAGTAGACGTGACAGGTAACAGTAGCATGGATCTGTCTGCTTTGGTGTTTCCTTAAACAGATCGTGAATAGAATAGTCAACAATCAACACCCCCTCCCCCCTCCCCTAAATAAGCGTAACCGTTGCATTTTGTTTATGTAATTTGTTGTGGAACTTATGTTGTGTATCTTACTCACTATACTGGTGTTTAGTTAGATTACATTTATTTCCTCATTTTCATTTTGTAATTGAAAACTAACATATTTATTAAAATTACTTATTAATTGTGTGTGTGTGTGTGGGGGGGGGGAGGGGGTGTGCAGTAAACAAAGATCTTACTTTTGGCCTTTGAAGTTTTTTATTCAATACTCGTACAGTATCACTACCCACATACCCGATCCCCCTTCTCCTTAGTCAGGGACCACTCCTATGTGCAAAATGTGGGTGGTTTAAACAGTAGTGCACAAATCAAGTTTTTAACCTAAATTACCACTCCTAGCCCTTCCCTCGATCCCTGTGCAGTTGTTCATAGTTAAGTATTCAAATTAGGATAGGACAGAAGTACAACATCTCTGGACTCTGGAAGATTTATAACGTTCTTTATGGCAATATTATTTTTAATTAAAAAATCATCATCTCTACCATTTGATTGTTACTTATATTTCTAACATTATACCTGTTTTTATATCGGGTATCTCAAAATTTTGCTTTAGTAGTAACAGGCAAGTTGAAAATAGAAGACGTATAAAAGATGTGATGCAACCAGTATAAAAACACATTCCAAAACATTGACATCACATTTTAGCCCAATTTGATTTTAAAATTAGACCAAAAAGTCAATATCCACACATTGAGTTTTATCTATCTCTCTTCTCCAACTTCTCTTTCACACAAACCACATACACACAATACACCATATACATATGCACACACACACCCACACACATAGATATATATCCAAAAGAGATAATTTCAAAATCCTAGCAGACTTTTTCACAGATATACATTTCTTTCAGTCTCATCTATTGCTGTTACAGAGGTTAATAATTAGCTTGGTCTCAATTCAAAAACATGTATTGTATAGATAAAACTCTTTGTGTTTTAACTACATTCAATTTGGAAGAGGTTTTTTTTTATACCTTTTTTTAAAAATCTTACAACTCAATTTCAGGAAGCACCTCTTAAGAATTCTAGAAAGTATTGATTTTGGGTCCAAGCACATCTCTATTATAACTATACTATCTATAATCTAGACCTATCAGTTACAATTAAAACCTAAAATTAAAAAAACAAAAACAATTATAATTCCTTTATATCAAAATAGAGTGACAAACCTGTTACATACTGGTTGAAAAACCCTGGTATACTGTAGTTAAAGGCAGTCTTCAAATAGAAAATATAAATGCAATAATGTGGCTTTATAGCTTTATATAGTATAAAATAATTAATTTTTGCATTTAAACTTTTATTTGAAAAAGGGAAATTACTCAAAAAATATTATGATACTAAGAATGCTTGTAAAAGCCTGACTAACAATAATTTTGTATAGTCACATGTAATTTTTCCTTTTTTTTAACTCTGTCAGGACTAATACTACTTACTGTCTCAGCATAGACTTTTTTAAAAAAAACAACAAATAATTAAAATAATGTAAATTAAATAAACAGAAAATGTAAAAAAAATTATCCAACCTTAAGTATTAATCTGAACGCTAATTGAAATTTTATCAGTTAGCCAGTTTGAGAAAGTACTTATGTGTAAGCATGATTTCGTTACTGTCTATTTTTATTTTCATTTTTTTTTTAAAACAACATTTAAATAAAAATTTCTGTATGCATTTTTATTGTTGTAAAATAAAATATAATGATTTTTATTGATCGCATTGATGATGCTTTAAAAAAATACTTCACTGAAACTAGCCTATCTCTGGTGTTTTGCCCTCCACTATTTTTTGGGGTAAAATTCTGAATGTAAGTTTGACCAACTGTTAACTTTGTTTGAATTTTAAAATATAAACTTTTTGTGGTTATGTTTCAACAAAATTAAAACACAAATTTAATCTGGTCATTGATTAAATCCTAATTTTGTAACAAATGGTAAATATAATTGGAAAGCTAAAGTTGTTCACAATTATTGTTAATTATGATCTTACTGTTGTCCCTGATAGTGGGATGTGATGTTGTTCCTGTTAACTGCTGCCACATATTTCCTCCAGAGTAATTGAAATTTATATTTAGATAATTTTTTCTCTTTTAAGTGAATCAAGTAGATGTTCAAACTTAATTTAATTATAATGTCATTTATGTGCAGGTCATATTTTGAAATGAACATGACATTGGTGATATTAAAATAAATAATTTCTAACATATCTGATGGAACTCCATAAAATAGAAAGTTAGTTTAAAATATCTTGATCTTTTTTGTTGATATTTTAAATATAGTTAAAAAAAATATTTTTTTATTTTAAAATTAATATTTGACCTTTTCCTATTTAGAAACGGAAAATGCTTGGTGATTCAACATCTACACAAGTACTGAGAGATCTGGAAATTTCACTTCGGACCAATCACATAGAGTACGAACTATAATATTGTTCTTTTAGAAATTATTAAACATTACTACTTTGTACGATAACATAAGATTCTTATAATGATCAAATCAAAAAGAAAAGTGTTTTAATTACATCGTACATATTCATCTACAACATATGAAATAGTAATACAGACTGTAAAAAAAAACAAGTCTAATAAAATTAAGTATAATTATTTAAAAAAAACATTTTCAATCTGCTCAGGTTTGCATTATTTTTAAATTAATTTATTTCTGTTTAATATTGAAAATATTAATTTATGTATATATGTTTTTAATTTTTTTTTTTTTATTTCACTAGATGGGTGCGTGAATTTTTGAATGAGCAAAACAAAGGCTTAGACGTCTTGGTGGATTACTTATCTTTTTCTCAGGTTGTCATGAGGTAAACTATTAGTTTTTTTTTAATTGAATGTTAAGATAGATTAAGTAAGATTCTTAATTGATCAAAATAAATGGAAATCTTTTTTGAATGCATTGGTCTTATTTAATTTCAGCAGATAGATAAATATTCTAACAAAGATAACATTTTAAAAATAGAATAATTTAAACACAGGACATCTAAAAGTATTTCTCAAGTTTAAAAAATCAACCGTCATTTACCATGAAACTTCACGTCCTCAGTGACAATAATGACTTTATAAGGGATCATTTAGATTTTATCACTGCTGGGAAAGTACGCTGGTGAATTAAGACAGACGGAGAAACAAAATAATTTTTATATCTTTTGGTCCTAACTTGAAAAGAAACAATTTGCCCTGATCCTGCTGATCTTAGGTATCTGTGATGAAGAGGGTAGGATGTATCCTCCAATATTTTTTAGTTTTACAACAGCATTTTCTTGAAATAGTTCTTCAAGCAAAAGTTGTTTTGTTTATGTGATATTACTTGCGTTCTTGATTAGTTAATAATTTTCAAAAAAATTCCCACTTTTACTGTTATTTGTTTTGTGTGTTACAACACTCATATGCCTCAAATTGATATTTCAGTTATAAAAATAAATTATTATTGTTTTTGTTTTATAGACGAGAGCAGCTATTAAATAATGAAAAAACATCCAGTTTGGACTCTGGCCTGAGCAGAAGTCCTAGAAGATACCTCAAGAGATCTAACACTATTGGATCACCAAGGAGCTCAAAATTTATTAATAACAAATTAAACATGGGAGAAGCAAGAGATGATGTACATGTCTGCATAATGTGCTTAAGAGCAATAATGAATCATCAGGTATGTTTGTTTATTTTAATTATGTCCGTACTTTTGTTATTAACATCAATGGATTAATATTATGTTTGTAAAACAAATGTCTATCTACTTCAGAACATAATACTAAGTACAGATTTATTCTGGTCTTCTTTTTCTTGTTTGTGCCATTATGTTTTAATAGTATTCAAATATTTAAAATCCTTTACATTTCAGTATGGTTTTAATTTAGTGATAGCCCACACAGATGCAATAAACTGTATTGCTCTTAGTTTAAATCACAGAAGCTTACGGTAAGTATTTATTACATTAGTTTGAACTATAATCTTTTACATTAAACATCTTTCTAGACACTGAATTGTTGAACATATCTTTTTCTAATGTCAAAACTCAGACCCATATTTTATACCTAATTTAAATGAGATATCATTTTAACTGGTACAGATGACATCATCAAGAGAAGGAAATCTATTGGAAGCAAAATTAAAGGGTAAATAAGTCTATAAAAAAGGCCTTCATCAGCAGACACATTTTGTTTTGTGTCACAAATAACTTCCATTATACCTAATAGTTTTTAACTCATTAATCTAACATCCCTGTAATAGATATACAATCACTGCAGAAAACTTGTTAATTATAGAGGTCTACTTTGCAATCACTGCCGAAAACTTGTTAACTACAGAGGTATTCTAAGCATTCCCAGATGTTTTCCTTCTAAGACATTTGAGATACAGCTACCTTTAATTTCCCAGCTCTCTATTCCCATTAACTTTTAAAAATAATTATCATATATACTTGTGTCTATGTCAAGAAATTTTTAGTAGTAAACTTCATTTTAAAACGCAGAGTCGACTTATGCACAGGTCAGTGCTAGTTTCAATAGAATTCTATACATTGAATGCAGGGCAATGTCAAGTTACTGGTAGTGCTAGTTTACTTAATGTTTTACTGAGATACAAACATCAGGTGTGATACGTCTGGAGTCAGTCTGCCAAAGTTAAGTAAACAGTGCAGTGATTGATGCTAGGTAAAATATGACAAAATTACTAAAATCACAGAATTTCATGGCCCCAAGTTTTACCCTCGACTTATAGCATTAAAAAAACTGTCCTTGACTTATAGATGAGATTGACTTAAAGACAAGTATGTATGGTAACATAAACTCTGATCCTTAAACCATGAATACTTCTTATTTAGGACAAAGGCCCTTGTATTAGAACTTTTGGCAGCTGTTTGTCTTGTCAGTGGTGGGCATGATATCATTCTTTCAGCATTTGACAATTTTAAAGAAGTAAGTAACCAATTTTGTTTCTTCTCTTTAATTAACAATATTAGCCACTTATATTTACACATGAGAAGAACATACTAATGAAATATTGTAATTTTTAGATATCATTTCTAAAACTGGCTTACATTATTACATGTTGTTTTTTAACTTTAATTTCAGGTGTGTGGTGAACAGCACAGGTTTGAAACACTTATGGATTATTTTAAAAATTATGATGAATTTCACATAGATTTCATGGTAAGTTTAATCCGTCATTATGTTTTTTAACACCCACTTTATTCTCAATTCCAGGAATTTAAAAATAAAATTGTCAAAGCAAAAAATTAAAATGTATTTCTTTTAACAGGTGGCTTGTATGCAGTTCATCAACATTGTTGTACATTCTGTAGAAAACATGAACTTTCGAGTACATTTACAATATGAATGTACACATATTGGTCTCGATGAATATTTATCGGTTAGTACAAATAGATAATTATTAGTTGGTATATTAAGAGCTGAAAAATCTTATAAAATATTTATGAGGACTATGCTGAATAACACAAGTTTATTTTGAAATTTTGCTTATTGCTTCTGAACAGTGTAAAAGCTGCTGCCTTGTTTTTTAATTCTAGAAACTGAGAAATACAGAAAGTGATCGCTTGGCAGTTCAAGTTCACGCATATTTGGACAACATGATTGATGTTGCTCAACTATTAGAGGACTCAGAAACAAAGACTGATGCTCTTGAAAAAGTGGCAGAGCTGGAAGATGATCTTTCTCATGTCACAGAGAGGCTAGCGGAAGTGGAGGAGGAGGCTATGACAAAAACAGGTTAATAAATTTGTAGTTACATGTTTTGATGCACCATTCAGAGAAGGATTAAGGATTAAATTTATTGTAATGCTGTTGTTAGACATTTGCTGCAGTCAGATAGTTTTGTGGATGTTTTAAAGAACGGCTAAATCCTTTTTAAATTTGTTGTGAGATATCATCACAGAATGGTCAAAAGCTTGGATGCGTAAGGTTTGGGTCTAAAGCCCTCGTTAACAGTTTTTTATTGTAAATCCCCTTCGCACCTTGCTTTAAAATGTAAATTTATATATCTTTCCAACTTTACTTAGAACCAAAAAGTTAGTCTTTTTTTTCTTTTCATTAAATGTGTTATATTATTTATTTATAAAGGAGCAAAATCTAGCCCTTTGTATTCTTCCATTATAGCTATCCAAATTATATTAGTTGTTATTTGTGTGTATTATAAAATATATTTAACTTTTAACCTGTATTGTAAACAAAATTGTAAAAAATAATTTAAAAAAAATTGTCTCAAAAGATCACTATAATTATAGAAAGATAAATTAATATTATTTAAAAAAAATATTTTCCCAGTTGAGTTAGAAAAGCAGTTATCTGAAGCTAACCAGGAACTTGAGGAATTAAGGGTAAGTTGTTATTAAAAATGACATTTATTTATTTACATAATTTTAAAATATATATCCAGATTTTATTGATTTTTAGTGATTTGTATTTTCTTAATTTTTGTTGTCTTTGTTTGATTATAACTTTCTATTTATTTGAGTAGGAGTTGGTGTCCAAGCAAGAACTAGAAATGAGTATGTTAAGGCAAACAATGATGGAAAAGGATGAGGAATCAAGGCAAAGGCTTAGCATGCTAGATGCTAAATTATTAGAGCTGGAAACACTAAAGTCTTTGCCAGGTAAGTTGAATCTAAATAAATTAAAACTATATGAAATTTATGTTCTATTTTCTAAAATGCTAATTAGATAAGTTATTTTTAAGTTCATGCTTTCTTTGTAAAAATGATCTCATCTGGATGAGTTTCATTAAGCTCCAAATTCTAAATGATATTTACTTTAAAATAAATAAAAGATTTATTCATTCGAGTTGTTTTTGAAGTGTACATTTTACAAATATATCATTGATTTACCTAAGTTTAATCTTTGATTCTATAGGTGGTAGCTCATCAGAAGGTTCTCCTGTAAGAACCCCTGCCCTTTCACCTGTTGCCGTGCCACCACCTCCACCACCACCTCCTCCTCCCCCACTTCCTAATGCCCCTGGTGCACCACCTCCTCCTCCTCCACCTGGTTCAGGAATCCCTCCAATTGATGGTGAGCACTGAGTTTATATTATAAATGTTGATTTTAATATTACATCACTATTAAAAATAAGAAATTTATGTCTTTCAGGAATTAAAACTTCTATGGTATACTTTAATGCTTAGCATTCTTATACATTTTGTAATCATTGTTTCAAATGTTTATTTTTTAAATAATTTTTTTTAGCCATGACCATTAAAAAGAAAATCCAGACCAAGTATCGTCTGCCAGTTTTGAATTGGACCCCTCTTAAACCACAACAGCTCAAAGGAACAATCTTTTCAGATTTAGATGATGAGAAATTATATACTGTTAGTATTTTTAAAAAAAAATTATAATTATTGATTACAAACCATTTCTTTTTTTATTTAAATGACTTTTTAATGTAAAATATAATCCACAAATAAACATACCAAAATGCGATTTTAAAAAATTGTTTAATTACATTTTTTTTTTTTATTATTGCCACTGATGAATACCATACAGTGATGTATCTTGAACCATTTCCCTTGCAAGGAATGCATTATATCTTTATAATTTTTTTAGGTAATAGATTTTAATGAATTTGAAGATATATTTCGCCTGGGACCAGCTGGTGCTTTGATAGGGGGTGGAGATGGTACACCTAAACTGCTCAAGAAAAATAAGAAACCAGAAACAGTATCATTATTAGAAGCAAATAGGCTTCGTAATGTTGGTAAGTCTCAAACATGGGTTCAATCCATTAATAAAGTGAGAGATATTTGCTTTATTTCTAACAGATTTTCTTTTGAATAGCCTTTAATAAATTCTCAGCCTTAGTAAAATTTTCAATAATCATTAACAATTGTGGCTCACTTATTAATAAATTTAGAAAATAGGAAACAATGAATGGATTAATTTTTGGTACATTTTCCCAATATATTAGACTTTACCTTGTTTGCACAAACACGAAGTGAAATATTTTTTATTTTTCCCCAGCAATCACTAGAAGGAAAATAGAATTAACCAATGAAGACATAGTAAAAGCAATTAACGGGTATGTTAAATTTCTTATAAGAATTTTAGTGCTAAATTTTGATATGCAATGTATGCTCTGAATCTAAATAGGACTCTCAGAATTAGGTGATAATGAAAGCAGACACAGTGGCGTAGCGAGGGTGTTTGGCGCCCGGGACAAGATTCGCGCCCGGGGACAAGATCCATTTTTAGCGCCCCTTTTTCTTTTTTTCAACTCTCAAACCAATTATTTTCATCAATAAAATAATATCAAAGCACATTTTGGCACTCCTAACTAGCTGGCGCCCGGGGACATCTGTCCCCCCCTCTGTCCCCCCCCCCTGCCCCCACCACGCTACGCCTCTGTGCAGACATGAAAGTCTTCCCGGGGACAAGATCCATTTTTAGCGCCCCTTTTTCTTTTTTTCAACTCTCAAACCAATTATTTTCATCAATAAAATAATATCAAAGCACATTTTGGCCCTCCTAACTAGCTGGCGCCCGGGGACATCTGTCCCCCCCTCTGTCCCCCCCCCCCCTGCCCCCACCACGCTACGCCTCTGTGCAGACATGAAAGTCTAAGTAAAAAAAATAATTTTAAAAGCTAAAGCAAGCTAATATTTAGTAGCAAGTGAAAGTTCTTTGCATAATTGAAACTGCATGTCATGTCTATTAGCAAATAATTTAATAGAATGTAAGGATACACATATGTAAGGATACACATATAAAGAGGCAAAAACAATTTGCACACAATTATAAAGAGTGTTTATGATTTCAGGCTGGACCTCAAGAAGTTGTCGCTTGATGTTGTAGATATTATGATGACTATTTTACCTAATGAAACTGAGGTAAATTTTAATTATAGTATCTAAGCCCAAACGATAACATTTTCTTACTTTTAGAAGCTTCCAGAAAATTTTTCAATGGAGATTTTCTACATAAGTTTTGTTAATAAAATCAATAGATAGTTTTTTTTCTTCAATTAAACAAATATTTTATGGCAATAGTTATATAATTTTCTTCTTCTTCTTTTATATCTTAAGGGCCCACGATCAATTTATTGATCATTTTGGCTCCTATGCATGTAGATGGGATTTGCAATGTTTCTGTTCCTGGTGTTGATGAGGAAATTTCACTGATTTCAAGTGCCACTTTGTGAGGGAATCATGCACTAGGGGATTGAAGGCTTGAGGCAATAGACACAAATGTGTCTAGTGTTGTCGCCTCAACCGTTCCTTTTGAAAGATTGTTCCAGTTCCTTATTGTCTTGGGCAGGAATGAGCAGCTCCTATACTGGCTTCTTGTTGGCATGAGCCTGAATTGCCTGTCATGGCCTCGTCACTGTCTATGGGGAGAGGGACGAGTTTCTGTTTAATACTGGAACAGTGAACCAGCCCATTATTTATCTAGTACATCATGGAGAGCCTGGATTGTCGTCGTCGTTCCTCTAATGGTGACCAGCCTAGTGTTTCCAGCATGCTGTCAACACTAGAGGTATTCCTGTAGCGGTTTAGGACAAAGCGTGCTGCTCGTCGCTGGACCGCCTCCAACCTGTCAATGCTTTTTTTTTTTTGTTTTGCTTTCTAAGTTCCATTTTTCCTTTTCAGACAAAGGCTTATAAAAATTTTGAGAGGGAAAAGCAATCTGTTGCCACATTATCAGATGAAGACAAATTTATGTTGCAGGTATTTTAACTAAAGATTTTTTTTTTTCAAAATGATTTATTATTTGTCATTGAAATAAAGTTTTAAATGTTTTTTATAAGTCATCAGATAGTTAATTCACAAGTGAAGTAAGTCTATCAACAATAAAGTTTACCTTTTTAAAAATATATATTTTTGAAACAACAAGGTTCATTTCCTTTTCTGTATCTTATTAATTTTTAAATTTCCCACTTATATTTTTAGATGGTTAAAGTTGAGCGTCTGGCTCAAAAGCTTCAAATTATGAGTTTTATAGGAAATTTCTCTGATAACATGCATCAATTACAACCAGTAAGTATTTTAACAATGATTTTAAACAATTATTTAACACATTATTTGATTATTTATAAAAAAATATAATTCATTTTAGAGTTTTAATATTAAGTCCTGGTTAATTACCTTACTTTTAAACATCCATTTTCATATTTTAGCTCTCAGAAGGCAAATATGTTTTTCTTGAATAAATCTAAAAAAATGTTAATTTATTACACAATAAAAATCATTTGGGATAATTTAAGCAATGATTTTTAAACAATAAATGAGCTTTCATATCTGCCACACAACTTAATCACTGGAACAAACCTGATTACGCTTAAAATTTTGGTGCACAATGTACGATCTTGAGATGTCTTTTACAAATATACGTTGAGACTCATCGGAACTGCAATTTTAAGAGACCAAGTTGAAAATATATATATTCCTATAGTTTTTTCTGATTACAAAAAATTTAATCAATTAAAAAGTAAATTTTTGGTTCTTAGTTTTAATTTGAATTGAATGGATTGAGAAATATGATTGGTTGGGGACCATCTATAATTATATTACGTTTGCCCTAAGAGGGAATGGAGTGGTGTTGATTCAGGAGATTTTGTGTAATATGTGGGGGTTGGGGGGTGTATAAATATTTAGTCTATAAAATTAACACTGCCACATTTTCACAATGAGAGAGAGATTGGTTGGGGGGTTTCATCAGAAAGTATGTACCATATTACAAAATTTTATAATATTCATCCTGAAACTATGAAAGTCCAAAAATAGCATATCTCGAATGATGTAAAAAAAAATTAGGCAAAGTTTTGTAGGAATTATCATAATAATGTTGCGATGTATTTTGGGTGAGCAAATAAAAGTCACAGGAAAAAGTCACAAATTTTCCCTGAAAAAAGTCACAGGCAAAAAGTGGCAGGAAAATAACTACAAAAATGGAGTTAAAAATGAAAAAATATTAAGTTAGATAATAGATAAGTCTGAAAGTCAACATTGTTAAAAAATTCTTTTTTATTCTGTGACGAATCACATAAAAACACTCACATTCATGTAAATGTTTATGTCTATGCAAGCAATAATATTATAAACTTAAATAAATTCTGACAAGATTTTAGAACAAAGGAATTAGTATATCTTTCGGTTCAACCACACTCCCTTGGTGACAATAATGAGCTTTAGTGTGATTACAGTTAATTTGATTTTGCAACAGCCAGGGAAGCAACTTGGTTAAGTCTGACAATAATGGGAAACAAATGGCTTCATATATCTTTTGGTCTAAGACCACACTGAGGCAATTGATGCTTTGTCTGGAAAGAGTTATCACTAAACTAGTACCATATTGGAATGCCCCTTGCTTTCCTTTAATTCCATGCTATATAAGATTTGTCTTTGAGATCAAAGGCGAGAATCAAATGACAATACTTTGGTTAGAGAATATTAATCTCTTGCTCAATCGTTAACTACCATTTATTGTTATTTAATCTATAATATTCGTGTTTATTGGCTGCATGCATAACAAGTAAATAATTTTGAATAAATTGTAGAATGAATTTAATGTGGGATTATAATATGTACACATAATACAAATAACACACACACACATGTATAACTGAGTAATAATAAATTATGTCATTAAATGTGTGAATTGTTATCTGTATATATTATATAAATTACAAACACTAATTTAATCCCAAGCTAAAATCATACCACAATCTGAATAAGCTGATGCTATTTTCTATGTATTGTTTTTCAGTAAATAAACATAAATTTGAAATTACACATAATTTCTTAAAAACTGACATAAGAGTTTACATAAAACATATTTTGTGACTTTTTTCTGTAACATTTTTCCTTTTACTTTTTTTTGTGTTATTTTTTTTTCCTGGTTTTTTCTTTGTGACTTTTTTTACTGTGACTTTTTTACGTGTGACTTTTTTCCTACAATCGTATTTTCCTAAATGAATTCGCTAGATATACTCAGATAATATTAAGTAGTAGAGATATTCAATAATATTTATGCCAAATATTTCCAAAATGCATGTGACTTTTATTTTGTTGAACTATTCCAGTGCTTCTAAACACTTTCATTTCTCGGCACCTATGCCAAATTCAGGTTTTCTTATCAGGCTCCCTGTGTTAAATTCTAATAAGTGCACTTTGAAATAGTGAATATATAAACAAAATAAAATAAAGGGTTAGGTAAAAAAAATTGTAGGTCATTAAGTGCCATCTAGTAACAGCAAAAGATAGTTACTCAAGTGTTTACTATTGGCACCACGGACGCTAGGTGTCACATTGGATTAAAAGTGGAAATAAAATTATTAAAATTTTGTAATGTTTTGCAACACCCTGATGAGGGAGCTACATCAATCCCTATATAAAAATGCCCCCCCCCCCGACTATTTTTAGCGTTCCTTGTCTTTGTGCAGTAAATGAAATTTTATAGTTTAATTCACTATTAATGTCCTTTTAAAGAAAATTTTGGTGGCCCCTGTTTTTGGCGCCTGTTGCTCTTCACTCCATTCTCATATCCCTGCACGAGGGTAATGTGGCACCCAGGATGATACTGCAAATCTTCTGTGAACCACTGTGCTCACTGAACAGCCAGTTGTGAAAACCTGTGACACATTTTGTTTAATGTAACATCGTATTTATATAAAGATTATTGGATTTTGTTGGTGAGGGGGGAAACACTCATTGTACTTTGCAAAGGGGTCGTGAAAAAATTAGGGGTTCAAAGGTGAAAGGGTGGAGGGGTAGAAAATTTTAGATTTTTTTTGTTTGTACTTTATAGATGGCCCCTCTTGGCATTTGTTTGCTTTGGTGCTGTATGATGTTATTTTTTGACATAATTATTTCTTGTGGCAAGGGCAAAAAGGGAGAAAACTAGTGAATGAGCTCTCACCTGGTCCGCGCAGCAACATTAGATTTTGACATATTTTACAGTGTCTGTGAGGGCCTTAGAAATCTATTTTTAGAACATGCAAAACAGCTTTACTTAAAAATCCCTCCTACTTTCACCCAGCTTGTGGTAGTTATCAGACTAATATTTTAACGGAAAATAGGCACAATGGAAATTAATTATTATATATTTTTTAAAACATATTTTCCTAAAAAATAAATCTCAAGTTACTTGATTGGTTTATTTTAAATGAGGCCCTAGTTTGTTGTTAAATTTCACCAGTAACTTTATTTTTACCAGTGACTGACTGGGATAATGTGTTCTGCATGTTCACCTAAATATTAAATATCTATAGCCCATAATAGCTGTCTGCAAAACAAAGTGACAAAGTCCAGTGGTTCCAGTTTTGAGGAATCATCATTCTATAGTCTGCCCCTTCTGAGAGTTAAAGTAAATTTTATGATTATATGTATTTCAATTTGATTGTTGTATTAATATGTTTTTAATACTATTTATTTTTCCATAAGGAAAGTTTATCCAGTGATTATTTATAAGTTTTAATGATATTTTCAGCAAGTGAATGCTGTTATAGCAGCTTCCATGTCGTTGAAAAATTCACACAAAGTTAGAAAGATAATGGAAGTAAGTAAACAAATAATTTACAATTAAATTTGTACAAATAAACTGTAATATATCCATTGTTCTTTTTTATATTTAAAGAATTTTTATCTATCAAGTTTTTTTGTTGTTGTTAACACTGCTGTTTAAATAAAGGAAAAACATAAGTTTGCTTTTTTTCAAACTTGGTCATTTGGTCTCCCACAGATTATCCTGGCATTAGGTAACTACATGAACAGTAACAAAAGAGGAGCTGTTTATGGTTTCAAATTGCAAAGCCTTGATATGGTTAGAAGTTATAAACTTAAAAACTTTAAAAAAGTAGATGTGAACTTAAAAACTTTGTGCACTAACATTTTATTGATTTTATTTTCCTTCCATTAAATTATACTGCTAAGCTGATTTGATTTATTTTTTAAGAAAAAAAAAAAAAAAATCTGTGTTTTTGGGGGGTTTAGGTTACTTTTTTTTAAATTACCCCCCCCCCCCCCCACTGAAAATGTATAATTCAGGTCACATAAAGTTTATTGAAATCATTAATACTGATTATAACTTGTATGTTCTAAAAAACAGTTGGTAGATACCAAATCAGGGGACAAAAAGACAACTCTGATGCATTTCTTGGTAATGACAGTTCAAGATAAATTCCCAGATCTCCTAAATTTTGACTCAGAACTTAGATTTTTGGACAAGGCAGCTGTTGGTAAGCTCACTTTTAAGTGCAGATCAATAGTTTCTTAAGTAAACAGTCATTCTTATCATTTGCAGATTTTGTTCCTCCTGTAATTGATATTTTTTAACAATTTTTCTTATATTGCCACTCCAAAAGGTAACTTTGCCATTTTAAGGACAAATTATCAGCTACATAGGTTAATATTGAAGTTAAACATTAAAAAATATTTAAATTTTATTATTGATCTTTTACAGTTTCCATGGAAAATATTAATACCGATATTCATGAGTTGGAACGAGGTATGGAACTAACCAAACGTGAATCAATTATTCGGAAAGAGTCTAGGGACTACCCTCAAATTCTTAAAGACTTTCTTGTTAATGCAGAGGAAAAATTTAAAAAGTTGCTTGGGGATGTCAAAACTGCACAGGTAAAAAATCATCAAATGTAATTTATATTAAAACATTTTAACTTGAAAAAATATATTTTAACAACACAAATTATTTCTTTTTTAAAAATTAAAAAAAAAAAAAAGAAATTAAGTTGTTTTATGTGAAAAAAGCTAATTGTCTTTTTCTCTTAGGATTCATATAAAAAGGTAGTGGAATTCTATGGCGAAAATCCAAGAAGTATATCTCCAGCTCAGTTCTTTTCACAAATTGTTAGATTTGTAGCCAGCTTCAAGGTTTGATATTTATTTGTAAAAATTAACTATTTTATTTTTAAAAATTACATTTAAACACCTTATGTTTGTGAAAAAATAATTTCAAATTGAATATTCTTTAGATACATAAATTAAAAACTTACTAAAATTTTACATGGAAATATAAAAAAAACGGTTATAAAATAGTTTTTAAAAAAATATATTAAATATAAAATTTTGAGTATGCTTGGTTTCTAAGGTAACAAAAAATTCTCATGTTTAAACAGCAAGCTGTTATTGATAACGAAAGGAGGAGGAAATTAGAGCATGGTTTGATGGAACCTGATGTGCAGCCTGTAAAGAAAAAGGATAAGAAAGTAACCCAGGTAAACTTAAGTTACAGTTACAGTTCTTATTTTTATTTTAAAAATGGGTAGGGGGAGTTTATTTTTTTAAGGTTGATTTCATAAAACTTTTGCAGCATATATTTGGTCAAGAATACACAATTGTAAAAAAGAATCAGCACGTATTTATATTTAAACATACAGCCAGGATTATAAGAACATTTGAATAATTCTTTATTTGACATGGTGTAATAATACCCATTCTTGATGGGGTTTTTATTGTTGATATTGGTTACTTTTATGAATTATTTCTGTTACATGCTAAAAGACGTGTTATTTCATGTTTTAGGAAGCAATGGTAAATGAATTGAAAAGTCGTAATCGTGAGAAGAAAGAACAAAGGCGGTTATTAAAGCAAGATGATATGTACCATGGAGCTCTAGAAGATATTCTTTTAGGTGAGTTAAATATATACCATATCTTTTATACACTTTTTAAATTTATGTCTGACTTCCTAACCACTCCCATTAATCAATCATTCATCAATTAAGATAAATCCTATTATCTTAAAAGTATTGCAGTTATGAACTGTTGAAAGTAGACATTAGTAGACACATTTATTAAATGAATAGATTAAAATTGCTATTAATAGCAATATTTTGGGGTATAATCTTCATTTAAAAAATAATAACTCAAAATTTTCTGTCTAGTCATGCCTACATGGAACTTGAGAAATAATATACTTATGTTATAAGGGATTCACTCTAGGTTAACATTTCTATTTTTCAAATTCTTAGATTTAAAGAATGAACCCTATCGCCGAGCAGATGCATTACGGCGAAGCCAAAGAAGAAGAGCAGAAAATTTAATCCAGGCTCAACATAGTGGACCTGGAGACATTTTCTAGATCTGATGTATCTGAATTGTAACATCTGTTTGATAGATTTTATTGTAAAATTGTAATTAGTATATAGATAGATGAATTGCAATTATGTAAATACATACACAGAAAAAAACAATCTTTTTGAGATGTCTCAACATGTGTTTGAAGGAAAGTAGCTCAAATTTACCCACATTTACCTGCATTTATCTTCACAATAACTAACAGTGAGAACGTACCAATAAATCTAACCTTTATGCTTATTTAGTATGTTCTTAGACTGTGGTATTTAAAGGGATTGATAGGGTTTCTTGTGTGTGGGTGGGGTGTAGCTTCCCTAAGAAGGATCCATGCCTTGTTGGCTAGAAAGTGGGACAGTAGGGCTAACCAATCTCTGATTTTAGCTAATGAATTGCATGTAAATAACTCTTTACCAAACACTGTGAGCACAACAAACGAAAGATAATAGTACATGGGTATGTTTCATGATCCATTAGTAGGTTAAGAGCAAAGGAGATATTATCCAGGGTAATAAGGGGGAGAGACTGCAATCAGATTTGCTAAATATAAAATGAGTAAAACAAAGGAGGGTTAAACCTGAAAAAAGGAACGCAACAAAAAAATGAACGTGTCGGCAGGAAGCCTTCGTCAGTGTTTTGTTGGCTGATGAAGGCTTCCTGCCGACATGTTCGTGTTTTGTTGCATTCCTTTTTTCAGTTTCAACCCTACTTTGAGATATTATCCACAAGTCTGAAATTGTGTCGATATGCTTACACACCATCAAGAAACTCTTAGTTACTTAAGTTAAAGATTGATTTGAAAATGTTAACTTTAAAAACATTATTTTTGGACATTTATTTGGCTAACTCCTACTCAGGCTCCTGATCAGGTGAAAATGGCATGCCATAGCTATGATTCTCTCCTCAATGTATAGTGGAGTAATCTTTTTTAGTTGGCTGACCTGATAAAGTTTAGAAAACACTGTTCTAGGGCTAGACACATGTATTATATAAATATGATTTCTTGTATATGGAATATATGATTATGAATAACTTCCTGTGCCTAAAATATAAGAAGGAGTGTTTGCAGCTTGCTATTCAACTAAAGTGCACTTTTTTTCATTTTGGGTACATAAAAATATCTCAAATTTTAAATCCATTGCCAGATAATTGCATTTAATTTCATAGGGATGTTACATTATTTATATGTTTATTCTGTGACCATATTCTTGTAAATACACTTCTCAATGTAGAAAATATGTATACAAATTAGTCCAAATCTTCTCAATTAGGTTAATTTACAATAAGTTTAATAATCTGAACTTCCTGAAGAATTCTTAGATTTTCAGTCACTTCACCATGAAATCTGTTTTTATGTATAAAGTTGTAGTTAGGTTGGATTCTCAGTAATAAGTATATCTTTTTTTGGCTTGTCTTTTTATGAATGATAACTATAAATTAATTTCTAAAATTCTATCTGAAATCCTAAAAATAATATATGAAAATAGCTTTAACTTTCATAAAATATTGGATTGAAGGCAGTGTTTAAAAGTTGGGTGGGTGAGAAAAATGTTAAGTAACAAGTTAATGAATAACTTTTACATCAATATTTGGGTGAAATCAATGGTGTTTTCTCTCCTTGTTTATAATAAGCTCCCAGAGTTTAAATTTATGTTTGAGGTCCAGATATTTTTGTTCTTGCCATCCACATATATTTAATGTATCTCATTCACTACCATGTTTCATTTTTTTTTCTTCTTTTATATGAATAACAATAGCACATGTGTATATTTTCTAAGTTGATATGTAGAGTAATTTAAACATTTTATTGTTTGTAATCTGTATTAAAATAATTTTTTAAAATACTGCTGCAGAAAATAAAAAGCTATGTTTTTTTATTTAAAAATTTCAAGATTTTTAAAACTAGCTATTACATTGCTGTATTATTAACAGCTTTATGACGTTGCAGGAAATTTTGTTCAGAATATTTTATAAAGGCTGTTGAATTTGATGTGTTGCATGCTGTCACTGTATTCTTGCTGTTTCTAACTTATTACTTTGCTTTTTGCAATCTTGTATATCTACACATGTATACATATTTCTGAGTGCATATTTTCATGAATACTTTTATTTTTCAATAATTCTGTAAATAAGCAGAAGCATTTAATAAGCTCTAAATTTTTCAACTTAATTTTGGGGGAAAACTTGAAACTAGTAACACAATTTAATTGATAGATCCAATATTAAGAAGTTTATAAATGGAATTAATTTTCAAAAAATTTAGCAATCTTTGTTATTAAAAGATCTCATCTTTATAACCCTAATCAGACTTCATTTTCCTTTGTGAATTTATTTAATATTTGATTTATTGTACCAATTAAATTGCAATTTTTTATTTTGAAATTTATTGAAAAATTATAATTGTTTTTTTTGAGAATATGCATCAGTCTGCTTTACTTATCATCTGACTTACATTTCCATTTGTTGTTTCCTAGTCATAATCTTTTTTCAACTTTATTGTTTCCTGGAGTTTTCTTTTTTTGTTTTGTTTTGTGTGCAATGAATTTTAAAAATTTCTTTATATTTATATTGATAATTTTTTTCTTGATGCCTAATTATCTCTCTTTATTTCTGCCAGTGTTGTATTTAGCAAAGAGAGTGCAATCAACACTAACGCTTTGTATCAAACTTGAAATTTATAGCCATATAATAAACTCCAGAGGGTTATTTCCTAAATATTGCTTTGATAGATGTACATATTTTTGTTTAACTTTGTAGGTCTTCAGTTTTCTTATATTTAAACATTCATCTTTAGAAGAAACAAATATATTCCTTAGCATTTGTAGGTAATAATAGTACAGATTTTACTACTTCTAACAGATTAAATCAGGAAATTAATGAAATTCAAAGCATTACAATATTTTTAAGTGCATGTTAAGTGTTATAAAAGTCATCACTGTAGAGTCCTCATTCTGTACATTTTTAAATTTAAAAGATTATGCCAACCTCACTTTCATATCTTCAATTGTTTTAAGAACATCTACCCATGCTTTAAGCTTGAAAGACCTGAATATCCATGAGGCTTTTTAAGTCAAGGGTAAATTCATATTTAAGCTTCATTGAAGTACAGAACCTGTTCTTTTGAGGATTCAGAAAAAGAAACAAATTTTATTGCTAGACTTTGACCCAGATGCTTACTCATGATTAATTATCCTCCCAGACAAGTAGGAAAATTCAATCATTTAAAACATAACCCTAAGGACAGTTTAATTTTTAAAGGACAGCATTATATTTTATCTTTTAAGTGGTGAAAATATAAATTAAAGTCAATTTTACAAAGTGTCCTCATATACTAGTATTTTTAAACGGTGCTGATGATTTATAATGTTTGTAAACTTCGTTAGTTCGGGTATTAAAGCACATCTTTTTTTTATATATACAATTCTGTTAAATATGAAGTAGTTTCTTTTTAATAGAAAAAATGCATACAAAAAAGTAGGACTTCTTGAGTGCATGAAATATCTATCATCAAACAAGATCAAAACTACTGTAGAATTTTGGTAAAAATAGTATACCATTCAATGCTAATTAACTTAACACTATTAAATAGTTTTAAATTCAAAGAATGGACAAATAAAATCTGAATAATATCCTTTAAAAGTGATAATTCATCTAGCACTATTGAGAACATTTACAATATTTTATTTTTTAAAACTTAGATATTAATAATCATCAGTGATCATAAGCAAATATAGTGAATATAAGATTTCACTTAACTTGAGTGCATTAGATAACTTTATAAGTTTCATATACTTAGTATTTTAATTAATATATCATTAAATTATAAGGAAAATTGAATTCAAATATATTTTTTCTTCTTGTGATCACAAAGTGTTTTGTTACAATAGCTGAGGTTAATTTCAAATGTCTTAATCCCAAGATAATAAAGCTCTTTAAAAAATATTTGAAATTTTTTTTTTGTACTAGTAGCAAAATTTTTAAAGTTTTTTTTTCCTTTTTTAAAATAAACAAAAGTCTTACATTTTCACATGTATTCCATCCAGCACTGTACACCTTCCAGTAATTCTTCATCCATACCTTGAGATTATAGGACTGTAAATCTTGCTAACTGCTTTTTATACTAACTTCTACAAATTGTACAGTATACAGTGTAAAGTAGGTATATATATATATATGCCATCATCAATCTGTGCTTCCCATTTCAGATGGTTCTCAAAATGTATATATGTTTTTTCAAACTGCCATTTATCAAGAACTTGTAAAATGTAAGAATGCAGAATTTCATGACAATCTGAACAATATCTAATCAAAGAACATCTGTATCTGTGTTACATGCTGAAAGCCTATGCATGTTTTTGCTCATGTAGTTTCCTTTAGTAAAATTAACTTAGTTGAATAATATTGTAACATTTAATAACTGTCACTTTTGCATTCTGTAATAAATTTTACAAAATGTTCATAATAAACCATGCATGTTTTTACAGTAAAAAATTCAGGATCAATGAATGTCAGCATATTCTTAAAATAATTAAATTATACATTTTAAATATGTCTTGTATCCTATTTTTAAGGATTAAAAAAAACAGCAATAGATGAAGAAGATAAAATTGTTTCGGATAAAATTAGGTCTTTGTGTTCATATTATTAGCATAGAATCAGGATTTTACAAACTGAACTAGTTTTTGTTATTTTCCCCATCACTGTCCGTTTTGGGATTTCTTGTGCATTTATGAAAAAAATAAAACAAAATGCGCATTTTTATACTAACGTGACTGCTGGCAAATTTTTTAAAATAATATTGGTAGCTTAATGCAATGTAATAGTTTATTTTTGGCAAATAAAATGAAACTTCAGTGTTGATACCTTTGAAATAAAATTTCAATTAACTTTACCAGTAAAATCTTTTTAAAACAACACAAAAAGCCAAGATACTAAATCTAAAATATTAAGATTATTTTTTTGTTTGTTAAACTTTAATTTACATTCATTTGCTTTTCCACCTTTTCTACATTTTTAGGAACACATTTTGGCTAATTTGCTTTTATTTAAAATAGTAATGTTAAATTGAAGTATGTTTTGTTTTGTTTAGTGTTTAAAAAGAAAGGAAACTTAAATGTCTTGGTTTAACTTGCCTGTTCCATGAAAATGAAAAGAACTTAAAATACATTGGTAGCATATATTAAGTTAATTTATTTTGATAATTTTTAAAAATACAGGTTTACAATTTGAAAGCTCAATTTAAAAAAAATAATTAAAGACTCATTCTTTGAAAGAGCAGCTATCTATAATTTTGTTCTAATAAAATTTTATTATTTTTTTGGGCATTCCAGTACTTCTCACTTATTTGGTACATGCATATGTGCATATTAAAATTAATGGAATTGTTACTAATGCAAACATTCGTGTGTTGCAATTTGGTTATATTATTTAAAATTATAATTTAAAAAATGTACTATGGAGAACGACTTCTAAAAAATTTAAGTCCATGTACACCCAAAAAACAAAGTTTTCTTTTTAAATTAAAAAATCATTATTACAAAACCTTCAATATTTGGTGAATTGGGGTACATGTCTCTTTACTGTTGAAACATGTACATCATTTTAGAGATCTAAAATAGTCATTAAAAATTTTTTCCCTTTGGCTGCTTAAATATAGTGCCTCTTGTGGAAATTATTGCCTTGTTGAAGTTCAAGGGTGATTGATTGGAAAGTTATTTTGCGAATTTGTTAAAAGTAATAACATATCTGCATGAGGTTTCTATAGCTTGTAGTTGTTCTATACACATCTTTTAAATACAATGTTATAATTGGCATTCAAATAGGGTATGAATATAATGTGTTATTTATGAGTATTAATAATGTTTTTGTACATCTATTTTTTAAGTGGAAGAGAGGTAAAAACAAAAGAAAAGAGAAAATGAAATACTTTTGTCCCATTGTCAAAAATGCATTAAATGATAAATACTTTTTATCAAGTCTTCTTTTTATTTTTTTACATGATATAAGTAAAACAATTACACAACCCATTGATGAACAATTGTTTTATTTGAAAGTTTTATCAAACTTTTACCATTTCTTTGGAGATATTCCAATAAACAATGCTCCCAATGACTTGTTTACACTTTGCATATAACATATTATGTATCATAACAAATTAACATAAACATTGAGTTTTGAATTTGTTAAGAAAACGTTAACATTTAAATTTAAAAAGAATGCATTGATCTTGTTTCATAGAAACAGCATGTAAGACCAACAAACAAAAAATCCAGGAGAACTGAAAAGAGAGCATCAAGGTAACAAGCTGAAGTAATATTTTATATTAGGTACTCCAAACTGTTGGAAAGCAGTGTTTCTTAAGCATTTTGCACAACTTCCAAGAACATATTTTCTTACAATTGTAGCATGTATACTAATAAAATTATACCATTTAAAAGATCGATTCAAGCACATATGCTAAGCCACTGCAAGGCTATTGTGTAAGTTTTAATTTTATTAGTCATTACTGAGTATTCAATTTAAATATTGAACATACTGAATTCCTTTGAAATTAGGTGTTCTATCTAGTCTTAATGTTTTTGTTAAAATAAGTGGATATTTTTAATATTATGTTGATTGCATGCAGGGATTTAATATTATGAGATTATTTAATCTGAAAAACACCGCTAAGTTTTATCTAAAATTAAGTAATAATATGAAATAAAAATAAAATACCTGCATAAAGCAAAATATTCTAGTGAACAATAATTTATTGGTTCATTACATTTTTGCATCAATTTTTAACATAATTTCAATAGGTAAATCCAAAAATTAATTTTATGTGTATTGTGTGCGTTTAAATTTCATTATCCTTTAATTATTTAAGTTATGTTGGGTGTAGTTGAATAAGAAATAACTAATAAGGACATTCAACATCGCCTCCTTCAACATAGACCGATTTAATCTGAGTATAATACTTAAGTGTATCAGCTCCATTTTCTCTCCCTATGCCTGATTTCTTGTAGCCACCAAAAGGAATGCCTACTGGGTAGATATTGTAGTTATTTACATATATAGATCCTGCCTCAATATTTGATACAACCCTGTGAGCTCTCTGCAAGTCTCTGAAAAGTAATGAAATTAAATTTTGCATTAATTAAGTTCCATTATGTTATATTTGAAGTATGTAAATAAATCATCTAAGAGGAAGTAACATTTAAGGACGTGGATATAAGATGTTATCTACTAACCTTGTAAACACACCACCAGCCAAACCAAATTCTGTATTGTTAGCTCTTTTCAAAACTTCCTCCTCTGATCTAAATGTTAGCACAGACATTACTGCTCCAAATATCTCTTCCTTAACAACAGTCATTTCATCTTTGCAATTGGTTAATATGCATGGTCTTAAGTAGTATCCTGCAAGGTTAGGATCCTCCATTTCAACACGTTCTCCTCCATATGCCACTGTCGCACCCTAAAATAATAGGCTAAAAACTAAGATTACATCCATATTCCTATTTTTTTTAAACATGAAATATTTTTTTAAACTTTCAAATTAGAAATCTGCTTTTTTTTACTTCTTATTATGATTTCTTAATATTTTATTATATTAATTAAATTAAAGATCAGTTGGATCAGCATTCCAAGGCACTCACCTCTTTTCTAGCTATGTCAATATATGCTAAGACTTTTTTTGCATGATTTTCATTAATGGTCGCACCAACTGTAGTACCATCACAATTAGGGTCTCCTATTTTCATTTTTTTTACTCTGCTTATCAATTTTGTAAGAAATTCTTCAGCAATGCATTCTTCAATAAACACCCGAGTTCCATTTGAGCATACCTAAAATGTTAATGTTAATTTTTTTTTTAAAATGTCAAATTTATAAATTTAATAAAAGTATGTCTTCGATTGCCTTAACCCCTTTGTACCCTAGATTTTTCAGTAAAAAAGACATCCATTTTTTTAAAAGCTAAAATGATTTTCTGTCTCTTCAGATTAAACTAATAAAGTGTTAGAAAATGCTAATCGAGGCCAGTAAAGGTCTAATTAACATGATCATTGTAGTATAAAATTGCAAAAATGGGAAAAATTATTGTTGGTATGAACCAAAACAAATTTATTAAATTAATTTAAATCTTAATTAAACATGTTCACAGTTTAGGGTCTAGCTTAAACTCACAGAAAGGATGCTGATTGATATATTTTTAAAAATTTCCAATTGGCTTTTGTAGCACAATTAAACATAAATTTTAAAATGTTTTTTCCCACATAAAATTTAATCTATACAGCTATCCCTTTCTGTTTCTTTTACCAGATAACAGTGATAATTTAAGTCAGATGAACATTAAACATAATTTAATTACCCTTCCTCTTTTTAGTATACTTCTTTTTAATTACCTTGATAACTTCCAGTCTAATTAAGAAAAATTTACTCTGGCCCACAATTAAAAAAAAAAAAGGATCATCAGATTCATCTAGGTTTACCGAATTGATATCAAGCAATGATTTCTGACCATATATTGTTGGCATCCTCCATGCTCGTCGACAAGAACAGAATAGTGGTTAAATTGCTATAATTTTCACAATTGAAAACATGGAAAAGAACAAATGGCTCATATTTTCCCAGTAGCATCCAATTAACCTCTGTAGTTTCCACAAGTAATTTAAACAGAAGATTTCATTCTTTTTAAATTAGATGTAAAATATTCTGGTTCTGGTAATGTTTCGTTGCTGCATCCATGTACTGGCATCTTTGCAACGGTTGGGGGTATGATGTTGCTATTCTAACAGCTCCTAGCTGATGCCAGGGCAGCCTTGAAGCTTTTGACTGATGTCGAGTTCACAGTGGCATCGTTTAGGTTGTTCCATGCTATTATTGTGCATGGGAAGAAAGATTGTCCCATGATCACTTTATATAAGAATGTCAGGCGGAGTCCCTCTCGTCTGTCTTTAAGGGGCGGGATGTCAAATCTTTTTAAGAGACCAGTGACGAAGCCAGGAGTGGTGGCTTTGTAGTCGCGAGCGATAAAACGCACTGCATTACGTTGAATTCGCTCCATCGTGTCCACATCTTGCTTAAGGTGTGGGTCCCAGATGATTGCACCATATTCCAGTAGTGGATGGACGAGTGCGAGATAGGCATTCTGTTTGCAGGAAGTTAGGCAGTGGCGCAGATTTCTTCGGATGAAACCTAGGGTGGAGTTGGCTTTTTTTTAAATTTTGTTTATATGGGGTGACCATTTTAGGTTATTTGAGAAGAGAATTCCAAGGTATGGACTATTGGTTACTTGGAGGATTGTCTCGTTTAGTGAGTAAATATGAGTTGATGTTTTTTTTCTTGAGATTGTCATAGTGTAGCATTTGGTTTCATTAAATTTCATGCCCCATTTGCCTGCCCAATTCAAAAGGCACTTCAAATCTGTTTGGAGGTGGTTGTGGTCATTGTTGCTGTTTATCTCTCTGTAGATAAGACAGTCGTCAGCGAACAGCTGCACGTGAGAATTTACTGTATCGGGTAGGTCGTTTATGTGACAGAAAGAGAAGGGGACCCAGCACTGTGCCTTGTGGAACTCCTGATGGTTTTATGCCTCTGAGCCATGATTCTGTTCCACATATTATGTCGGGCTTGATGTATTGTATTATGGCTGCGAGCTCTTGTCTCTTTGATTCTATGCTTTGGCAGTTGATATTAAGTAGGTGGAGGTTTGCATTTTTGGGGTGGTCAAGGATAGAGGGGGAAGTTGGGGGGTGTTTTTTGTGTTTTTGGGAGCTTATGGGATGCCTTTTGCTTGAGTAGGGCGGTTGGCCAGCATAGTGGGATTTTGGGGTACTAGTTCCATGCAGTGAGAATGGGAAAACCTTTAATTTAGATTCAGCGTTTGAAAATTATCTGGAAATTAAAATTTTATATTACATGTGATTTGATTTAGTGGTATTGGAGAGTTAAAGGGCCATTATTTTTGTGATAATAGATTGAGATTACCTGTCCCTGGTTACTAAAGTTAGCCAACATTGCTCCCTTCACAGCATTGTCTAGATGAGCATCAGCAAATATTATGAGTGGGGATTTTCCTCCTAGCTCAAGCGTTACATGTTTCACACCCTTTAAAAAAAACACAAAAATATTAACTCTTTTGCTGAGGAATTTTTTTATAGAAAAAATGTACATTTTTTTAAAAGAGCAAAAAAGAATGAGAGGTTGGATTTATTAAAAAATATAATTTTTTGGTTTATAAGACTAAATTGGGTATCAAATGAAAGATAATTGAAAGGACTATATGTTTGTAAACTTATTTCTTCAGTTTAAGTAAAATAAGTTACAGAAAAGAACCATAAAATGTGAAAACATTATATGCTAAACCATTTTCCCCCAAACCCTATGTTGTACACATATCTCATCTTCACTTCTATAACTCAAATCCTCTAAAACTACTACTATCGGAATCATGTGATGGATCTAAATATAAATCATCTTCACTATCAAAAGAATTAGTATAAAACAATTCCAAAACTTTTTGAGCTGTTAATCGTCTAGGAAACTTACTCAGCTACTAGGGCCTAGAGTAGCCATAGCAACAGTAGAAAAAATAGCGAAGAAAATAATTAAAATAATGCTTCGAATAACAACAAATAAACCTTGATTTCGCTTTTAAACAATGAAGTACCACTCTCCTATGTAAAATTCTTATTTAAAAATAGCTCTTAAAAAGTTTAAACGAGAAATAGCAAAGAAACAAACATGATATTGAAACAGCGCAGAGCGCGTTGATCCGTGCTTTTCAGAACTGCGGATGAACGCGCTGTGCGTTGCGCCGCAGCGAAAGAGTTAAAAATAAAATTTCCAAAAATTTTACTCGCAGTTAAAGAACTTTTCATGAATGCAATATAATGTGGAAAATTATTTTATAAAAAAAAACACGTTCAATTTTGAAAAGTCTAAATCAAAGGAAATCTTCCATTAATAAAATAAAGCGAAAACGCATTTACCTCTGCACACATTGCCATGATCTTTGAACCTGTTGCAACACTGCCTGTAAAAGAAATCTTGTTAATGTCTGGATGTGAAGAGAGCAACTGACCTGTCTCTGCCTCTCCCTGTTAAATTAAAAAAAAATGCATTTAAGCTTTTTTGGAGTTCATATTAATTACTAATTTTTAAAAAAAATTTTTGTTAATGGAACTTGCCTGTACAACATTATAGCATCCATCTGGAAGCCCGGCCTCTTGATAAATCTCTCCCAACATAACTGCTGTAAGCGGTGTGAGTTGTGATGGCTTAAAAACAACTGTATTACCACAGGCTAAAGCTGGTGCTGATTTCCAAGAGGCCATCTGTAAAGGATAATTCCATGCACCAATAGCTCCAACAACACCTAAAGGTTCCCTTATTGTGTATGCAAAGCTTTCATCAGAGACTCTTTGAAAATCACCTAATAAAATAAATAGTTACATCAATTTGACCTTTTAATAATTAATAGCTAGATAAAAAATAATATTTAAAGTTTTAAAAAACTTTATCATGATATAAATATAACTTCCCCTCTTTGTGTACCTGTAATGGTTGGTGCCAAACCACCAAAGTAATCGATGGTTTGAGCACAACCCAGCACATCAAGACGAGCCTCCCATATTGGTTTCCCTGTATCAAGAACTTCAGTATATGCCAATTCTTCAAGTCTGTTCTGCAATAAATGAAAAATATTATAAGTAAGAGACGCAACAAACATATGAGATAATTTCAAAATGGACTTTTATTATATTTTTAACCTGCATTGAAAGCATTAAAAAAAAAAGCATTTTAGCATCCTTCATATGGCATTCATAGACCAATTTTAATTATGTGTTTTGCAGGGAGAAATTTAGTGAGTAAATTCACCAACATTTTCCCTCATCTCACATGTCATTGTTTTTAAAGCCTTATGGTATCTAATCATAGATCTGCACAGGCCCTGCACTTGTGCTGCAAATTACCTTCATTATAATTGCAGCTTTTCTCAGTACTTGACCCCTCTCAAATCCAGACCATCTAGACCAGACTTTGAATGAGTGTCTTGCCACCTTAACTGCATCATCAATATCCTTTTTATTAGAATTTGATACTTCTCTTAAAGTTTTACCTGTAGGTATTAATAAATTCATGAAATTATTTTTTATTAAATTTTTATTATTTTCTTTTTTAAAAAGGAGATAAGATTTTACTTATGAATATATTTTTTATAAAGATGAATTTGACAATGCAAAATTAAAATATTTTTTTAAAAAAAGTCTTAAAATTAATCAAATCAAAGCTATTCTTGGCACAACCATGCATGCGGGTGGGGGGTTAAACGTCCACTAAAATATCATGAAGTCAAATATGCCTTTATAGATATCAAAACAAATCATTGATGAGCAACATTGTTAAAATAAAGCAGTAAATTTAGTATCTTTATATATTAGTACTTCAGTGTTTAGTTATATAGTGGTAAACTTAATTCCCTATTGATTGATTACATGTACCTTTGAATTCAGAGGCAATATGCGATGCATATCAAGAAAGAGCCAACTTGTAAATAATAAATATATAGGAAATCCAATAACTTGATCAATAGTTCATGACACTCACACTCTTTTGACTTTATACAAGATGTAAATTGGGATATGACAGAAGTTTTCTGTATTAAAATACAAACCTGTTGCAGGTGCTGTGAGTGGAAAGGTATTTCCCCCTCCTCCATCAACTCGGAGCCCATGGATAAAGTTAAGAGGCAGAGTCACTTGAGGGGAGTGAATCAATTTATTTTTAAACTTAGTAACGGCACTGAGGCTGAAACATCTCACAGGCAAAAGAAAGTGTGGTTGAAATGCCTTCATATTTGTCTAAAAATATATACAAAATATTTATTACAAAATTGTAGCTATAAGTAGTAAAGAACAGCCCATCATAAAATACCGTAATTGGTATAAAGTAGCATTCTCAGTGCGATACAAAGCCAAACAAGGAAAAAATTAAAATCAATGTTGACTTTCACTGCTAATAATTATTAGTAATGGCTGCATCTATAGGTACCCGGGTACCTATGGTCGCCAATGACAATTCGCACCCGGAGTGGCTTCGTACATATTAAATGGCTTCGGAGCCGAATGTGATAACAATAATAGTATGAGAATTATTTTTTGAAATTGTTTTTTCTCCTTGTTTATTTGATTGATTCATAGTTTTATTATTTTTAGTTGTTTTTTTATTTTTGCTTTGTTAATTTCTCTTAGTACAGGTAGATTTTTTTTCTTTCTTATTTTCTTTTTTTTAGTTTAAGCCATTTTCGGAGATCAATTATTTTTTTTTAAAATCTAGTAATGAAGATGATTTAGATACATTTGTTGTTTTTATTTGAATTTTAGAAAAGTAATAATATTAATTTAATTATTAAAATTAAATCCTTTATTTAAGACTATTTATGTGTATTGTTTAACTTAAAAGATTTAATCACACAGTACTTTATGATTTAATTAGGTATTCTAAATAATGAAAATTTCATTCATAATGAATTTATTTCAACTATTCCTCTAAGAGAGCTTGGCTTAGTCAGAACAAAACCACCAATTTTAAACCTTTTCCTTGGCACTGGGAGTCATACATGCGGACACTAACTGTTATTCCTGATATCTTGAATCTCCTTTCAACAACCTTTCTCATTTGACTTGACCTAATTCACAAGGTAGTTGCAATGAACATCTTAAAGTTAAAGGATGCCATTGTATAAAGTATGAGAAGGAGACTTATTTTTGGAGGACTAGTCTTTTTTTTTTTTAACCAAGTAATCCATAAAATAAATTAGGGGCCAGTATGGAGTAGGCAGCCATTAAACTCATTCAATTAGGTCACATCATTCCTTTGCCATTTGTCTCCTTTTACTTTCTCACCTTCCTTGTTGGTACCCGTACAGTTAACTATTGTTTGTACGGTATCATTTCTTCATTTAAGTACAGACGTAATGATTGAGTGGGAGCAAATATATGTGATCTGTGAAGGGAGTTTGGTTTCAAGGCAACTAAGTCATGCCACATTGAAAATAAAATACTGATAACCTAAATAAATAGAGCCATTGAAAAAAATACAGTACATACAAACCATACACAAACAGAAAGACAAAAATCCACTAAATTTAAAAAAAAATTGTTGTGACTTTTATTGCAAAAAATTAAACATTTAATACCAATTTTGACTTTACGCAAAATGATTAAAAACAAATTTGTATTGCATTGTATTGTAAATTATTGTACTGTATTGTAAATGAAACTTGGCATACATATTAAGAATAACATTGACAAAAAGTTTAAAGAAGATTATTACACAGCAGTTATTGGAATTGTTACAAATGGCATGTATGTGGGGGTCACATAAATATTTGAGAACTCTTCAGGGGTAGCAAATGTAAAAATGTTATAAAACTTTCTAGTTGGATATATATATATATATATATATAAAAAAAAGCTCTTGAATTTCGTAAAGAATATCAATGAAAAGAAGCATGCAATGTTTGAAGGCTGTAGCTAGAATACTTTTCCTCCCGATTCATTTGGCGTTCCAAAAAATGCAAAATTGAGAAAAATGAAAAAAATAAATAAAATAAAATTGTGCTTTTTTAAATTAGAGGCTGCATGAACGATATAGGATGCATACACCATGTACATATATCCTTCATGATTTAAAAAACAATTAGAAAACTAAGACAGAAAAGATAGGAAAAAAAATTAACACACGAACCTAATAAATAAAATGCATAAATACAAACATTCTCTGAAAACTTTTCCTATGAGACATTTGTTTAAAAACAATCCATCATAAAGTAAAGAATCTCAATTTAAATAAGCATGCAAAGTTTCAATTATGTAGTTCCAAAACTATTCGTCCTGATTCATCAATTGATGTCAGAAAAAATATATAATGAAAATGCTATATCTATAAAAGCTGAAAAAGACACTGAAACAACATTGATGCATACATCATGAACACATCCCAAAAAATTATTGTTAGGTTGTAAGACAAAATTTGGTATCAAATGAAAGATAATTGAATGGACTATATGTTTGTTAACTTAATTCTTCAGTTTAACTAAAGGAACATTAACTAAAATAAATTACCACAAATGACATCCGAATAGCATTGGTCTATTGGACCCGGGTTTGAATAGCGACAGCCATTTATTTACAAACATTCACATATTTATTTTATACAAGTAGTGGAAAATTGTTGGGGCAGCTATCTTTTTCTTTTCAGGGTAAAATTTTGCTTTACCTTCGGTCGCCCCTTTGGGCGAACTCTGTCAAAGTTAAGCTTCCCAAAGGAATTAATACTATTTTCAGTTTCAATTTTTTCTAAATTATTTGCAGCAACTGTTTCCTCGTGGGAAAAATGAATGTCATTTATATCAACAAAATCAATTAGTTGACTTTGAATGAAACTTGTTTGTGGTTCACCTTCATCAAGTTGTGACCCCGATTCATTTTCATCTAAATTTTCAGGACTTTTCCAGAGACTTATAGTAGTTTCAAGAAAGGATATTTTCTCTACAAAATCTTGTTCTCCTTGCATCGCCAAAAAATTTGCCAAGCCCATACAAATTCTTTTAGCATGATTAAACCGACCCTCTTGAGTCTTAAAATTATTGTTTCTAGTAGATACAATTTGAGAAGTTACTGAACCACTAGAAGTAGAAGCAACCACTCTAGGAACACTATGTTTGCTAAAACGGCATGGAATTAACTCTGAACAAAATTCTGGAAGCTGTAAATGTCTTCGAACTGAAAAAATATGTCTGCAAGGTAATGCCATCTTTTTAGCAAATGAACAATTACATTGAACTGATGTTGAGCTAAAAATACGTTCCTTATAAGCTACTGAAAAAAGTTCTGCCTCTCCAGGGACAACAGAGTACGGAACAGATTGTGACAATTTGAGCTGATTGAGCAATAGAGCAGCAGCAAAGGAAGTAGCAACACTTTCAATCTTATTTACACTTTCATCATTATCAGATGACGTATACTGAGCTGTGTTTGCAGCAAGCAATCTTAAACGATCACATACTGTAATTTTGCAGTTGTCAAAAGACATAAGGTTACGAAGAGCAGATGAAAAAGAAAGATAATGAGTCAAACTCTTTTTTATTTTGGCATGATAAGACTCCAAGTGATTTGTTGTTGTCGCATGGAGTCTTAAAACATCAGCATTGGATGATGCTGCCCATAAATGGGCCTTACTCCACCAGTTCGACTCAAAATACTCCAAAGCTACATCAGGAAGAGTATCTTTCATGTCTTGCATCAACTTTAAAAATTCATCACACGACTCGGTATAAACTTGAGACATAAATCCTTCAAGAATTGGCTTAACATGCTCAGGACCTACATGTTTCGAAAGAAACCTGTGCACAGCCTGGTTAATGTGAAAATGACATAGATTAACAGGTACATTTGGAAAGAGATCATTTATAGCAGAGATTTCAGCCATGTCTTTGTCAACCACAAAGCACTTGAAAAGACTGGCATCAGAATTCTTCAGAAGAAGCTGCAAACAAAGAGAAATAGATTCCTTATCTTCATTTTTTACAAAACCATGAAGAACAGGAATGCCCCTGCCCTCTCCATCAATAACCATTACAGTCAAAAGTGGATATAAATATTTATTGGTTTTATATGTGAAATCCATTAATAAAACCTCTGGATATTGGGCAATAATTCTAATCATATCATCAGTCATGTATGATAAATACTTAAATTCCCCACTTTCTGTTAGTCCATAGGACACACTTCCACCAGCTTGTGATATAGAATGAAGTATAGATTGAGTTTCAGTTGCATCAGAAGATGATTTATTTATTCTTGACTTAATATTGTAAATGTCCCTGGGAAGCAAATCCACATCATGCTGTTGTTCAAGCACTTGCCGGGCCTCAGATGCCTGAATCGTGGTGCAGGACATCAACAGAAGCGTTGCCGCATTTAGTTCCACCTTGCGGTTTTCCGGATACAAGCGGCACATCTGGAAAAAAAATACACAAAGGTTACTTTGCAATAATAAGTATTATGTAAAAAAATATACTCTGCAAACATTATTATTATTAGTGGTCTTATAAAAGGTTCCCTTTAAGCTGCGCTGCCGTGCAGCCATCTCACAGGCGCTGCGCAGCAGTTTGGAGTATCCGCACAGCAAATTTCATTCTAAGTGTGTGTTTGTGTTTCTGGACTGTAAAATTTTGCACACAAAAAAATTGATGCTGTAAAACTTTGCACATAACTGTATTATTTTGCACACAAAACAACAAACCTTAGAGGGAACATTGATCTTATATAGTGCGGTATCCCAGCCTAGGGCTGGGCTCACCGCTGTGTACATAAAAATAACTAACCTTTACCTTGGGGATAAATGCTTTATGTTTATTATATGTCACAATAATCAAAATTAAGATTTAAACTCTGTCTGGAATATTTAGAATTTATTAAATTTAATTATACTGTTAAATAGATTTGTCTTAATTTGTTTCAAAACCTTTCTATGGTAAGGGTGGTAACCTTAACCTTAACCAAAAGTTTTCAGTGATAAAATTTCTGAGCGCCCTAGATTGAATGGGTTAATGAATGGTATAAAACATTCTTTTAAAATGCATCCATCTAAACTCTATAGTACTAGAGACTAGAGTACCTGTAGGTGACAACAACCTGCCACAAGAATAAGCTATTTATTATTATTATGTAAATATTTTTCGCAGCACATGCACTTACTTCTTTTGATACTTCATGGCCAGTATGTTCATGCATTGATTTGGTGATTTCTAGCCGAGATGGATTTCTCTTGGCAACAAGCTTTATCTTTGCCTGGCATCCCAATTTGAAAGAACTGAAAATATAAAAATTCTCAACGAATTGCCAAAAGTGGTAAGGTAATGTAGAGCACAAATGCCACTGCGTCATTTGCTTCTTTATTATAGTTGCAGTGAATTAGGGTTTAGGTTAGGTTGAGAGGTCGATTTAGGGTTGAAGTTCAGGTTAGGCATAGGCATAGCATAGTATAGTGATCGATTTAGGGATACATTAGTCGCGGCCATCGATAAAATAGTGGCATTCGTCCTCTACATTTACCGTGGTAATAATCATTGGCTTGGAGAAAGAATTATTACATGACGAGACCAACTAAATTTAAAGTTAACCTATTATCATTACTTTATTACTTACAAGTTACGCTTGTGGCCTGTGATTTTCTTTGGCCTGTTGAGTTGTCGTTGAAGACTTTGACTTGCGTTTAACGCCTTGTTTGCAACAGTGAATTATATATTCATATTTAAGGTGTTCCAAATTGGGATCTTTCATCTTCTCTGACGATCTTTTAGTGAAACACACATTGTGTTCTTTACAAAAATAATTCAATTCGTCTTCAAAAGACGCATAGGTGTTAAAAATGCTGCCAACCTCCATTTTTATAAAAGAAAGCGCGGCAAACTTGTCGATTATTAAGCCTCTGGTTCGGATCATGTTTTTTTTCGATTACTAAGACTTTCGGGTGCGAACAGTCATTGGCGATGATGGGTACTCGGGTACCTATAGCCACTTCGATTAGTAATTAGTAGTATACAATTATAATAAGTTAAGCACACGACAGGTTACGACCCTGTTCTTACCAAAATTCGTTAGCTTCGTTTGTCTAGGGTTTATAGTAATAACTTCACAAACCATTGCTTCTTAGAATAAGGTGTCAATTGCCATTACTCAATCACAACAAAACTACCCAATAATACATCATTTCCCCTTTCACACAATAGTCACAAAATACCAAACATTTAATAGCAACATCTACCCAAATAAACTCCTAACAACACACAACAAAAGTACACACTAATACAATTTCACCTTTCACAAATAGTCACAAAATACCAAAGATTTAATATTAATAGTAATAGCAACATCTACCCAAATAAGTATTCAGTAATCTAAGACTTAACTGACTAAACTCAAGTCAAAGTCAGTATGAGTAGTCTGATTCAGTTGACTAGAATGTCACAATCAGTCCGTATTATTAGAATAGTATTATGTGTATGACTATGTCAATCAATGTCATTTTAATTTATGTTTAGTTTGAGACTACCAATTCCGACAACAGTGCAATAATTAGAAATCATAGAGATAAACGACATAGACATAGTCATAGTGTATGGTCTTTCCAAAACAAAAAAGCATTAATTTCTAGAAATATTTCAAATATATTTTTGCCACCATAATTTTGTATAATTATTGTGATTCGTATAAATAAGTGGTGCGATGAAATTGAAATGCATCTGAGGCTAATTCTAAATAAATACTGAACAATAATAAGGAAAAACCTGTGGTCAGTAGGAGATGTGTTTTAAAATTGGAATGCTTTCCCCTGCCTTGATTTGCCAAACATAACTAACTTAGTTATCTACAATTTAAATAATATATAATAAATACATTTTGAAATTTAAAAAAAATATTACCAAAGCTAACTATGTTTATTTTACACCAATAATTACAAGTCTTAAATTATAATTATATTTAAAACACAATGAATCTTACAAATAAAACTTAACTAAAATAAATTAAAATATACAAATTCAAGCTTTAAATTTAAAAAGTCTGGTCTATTTATGTTCAACTGTTTGTTATTAAATATTGTGCAGAAATTACGCAATATTTTCAAGTTAAAATAAATGCATTTAACAAATACATTATTTACACAGTAACAATATAGAAATATAGTGAATCTTTATATATGTTTTAAATCATTAATACACCTAGAACATAGCCTATAATGTATCATTTGATCTGAAGGAGTAAAACTAACAAGAAGAGTAATTTATTAAATTTAATTAATTCAGTTTCAGTGAGTAGGCTAAGCTAAGAGTAATAGTAATTAGTAATAGTAAGAGTGGCTATTGCTTGTCATTTTCAGGTATCCAGGTGGTCTGTACCCAGCTCAGCCCTATTAGGAAGCTCTGCTTACAGAATATCGTACCAAAATTTGTCTTGATTTCTCTGTGAGCACATCCTTTTACAAAGTGAGAAAGCAGAGGAGATGAGAGAATAGAGAATAAAGCAAGCTAAATTTAATAAACTATAAATTATTAAACAGGTTGTCAAACGTGGAATTCAGGACATGGAGTACTAGAATATAAATTTATAAGTATTAACTTAAGCTGTGTATCATTTAATGACCCAAAAAAATTTAAAAAATGAGAGTACAATTTCATAGTAAAAACCTCGATGGAGCATTATATAGTTATTTTCGTAAATTTATTTTACCCCTGGATAATATAATATTGTTATGTGTAGTAATTATGCATTAAAAATAGTATCTAAAATCGTTTATACATTTTGCTGCATTCTCTAATTATGTATTTTTATCATCAACTTTGAATTCAGTTTTTTTTTTTTAAAATGACAACTTTTGAGGAAAATTACATCCGATCCTGGAATGCAACCTGGTATGTTTCAACATTACACAAGTGGGTTAGCGGACTACTTAGTGTATCTCCCCGTTCTTTACTTTTTAAATCCAATAATTTAGAACACAAAGATTCTGGAGGAAATCCTCTTGTGCTGTTTATTGATTTCTCAGAGATCACAAGTATTAACAAAGCCTTGTCTTCATACCTATTCCAAGCTATTAAAATCATCTTGGCAAGCGGTGAAACACATTGGTTTTCTTCAATGCTGGAAAGAAATGCAACATTTTTAATGGTACGACATTGCTATCAAGCATCATTATTCAATAAAGTTTCATCCCCATCATCCAATTTTGGTACATCAAGATCTCTCAGTTCCCAACCCAGAACAGAGTTTGGCACTGAACTCTTACGTACTGTATATGACTCACAAACTACTTTACAAAATGCTGCTGGAAGCTTAGTGCAGCAAGGTAATCAGCTTAAGAACAGTGCTTTAACTGTTGAGGAGATTCATGAAGATTTGAGTGTGGCTGAGCGAATTACTTCAGGCATAAATTCTTGGTTTGGCAGGTGGAAGCTCCCTCCTATAACAAAAACAGAGGAGCTGATATTGGTGAAAGAAAATGATATACCTCATGTTTGGGATGTTGATGCTTTGTGCACAAAGATTATTGGCTATAAGCATGGTATCCAAACAGAGATGGTATTTAGGATTGGAGTTGATGGCATATCAATAGTGGATATGAAACAAAAGGTAGGCTTTGATTGTTGAATCATTTTGCTATTTTAATGATTAGTTTCTTTAGGGTGCTACAGTTTGAATAAAACCAGATTAACAGATATTTGCTGAAATTTTGATTTTATATAGTTAAGTTTTGTGCATGTAACTGTGATCATGAGGAGAATGATAAATCAAGTTTTTGCTTATACAGGGGAGCCTCTGATAACGAGTGCCCCGAAAATGAACAGTTATGTTAGTGAACAAGTTTGATGAAAAGTTTTTGTCTCGATTAATGAACAATAATTCAGTTATGAACATATGCATACTTCAGTACACACAGTCCCACTGACTTGGTAGAGTTTTGGCACATTTGCAGTAAACATGGTTTGTCCAAGTGTTGTGTTAGAAGACATGTTCGTTACTTTTGCACTTTTGGTGTTATTCTAGCCCTCATTATGGCATCTAAAGAGAAAAGTGTTATTAACAGGAATCGCGTTAGTATATGAGTAAAGAAATAAATTAAATTAAAACATGATAATGACCTTCATGTTTCCGACATTGGTAATCAATGCAATGTGGTGAAATTTGTGATTTGTAATATTCTAAAGAACAAAAAGGCAATAAAGGTGACTAATGTGGCTAAAGTAGTTACAGTACTGAAAAGGTGTAAAGTGCTAGCAAAAGTAGAAAAACTGTTGTTAGTTTGGATAAATGAAAGCAGCTGTCTGTAGTCTTTAGATAGTTTTAAGGAGAAAATATTTTGTGAAAAGGCTAGGCAGCTGTGCAGTGATTTGTTGGCCAAAACACAGTACAAGTCCAGAAGCTGAACACTTTAAGGCGAGAAGAGGGTGTTTGAATAAATTTTGCCATTATGTTGCCAGACATTGAGAGGCTGTTGGGTTAGATAAAAACAAATATTTTTCATTATAGAACAACACTTAAAAATGTTAAAATAACATATTTCTAAGGCTGGAACAGATTGATTGAATTTTTATTGATCTCAATAAAAAATTTTTTTAGTTAGTGAACGTTTGGGTTTAAGAACGGAGTCATGGAATGGATTAAGTTTGTTAATTTTCTTTTTGTATACATGGTAATGTTAACAATTGTTATGATTTGTGTAATGGCATCCTTTTTCCATATAGATTATTCAACACTTCAAATGGCCTGAGGTATCTCAGATAAGAGTTGTTAGTCCTTGGGAAATTCTGATAACAAGATTTTTTATTGGTCAACCTGATTTGAGTTACAGCATTGTAAGCATGGCTATGCCTAAAATGTTAAAACTTCTGGCAAGATTTGCTAAATCAAAAATGGAATACATGAATCCACCAAATGTTAGTCATTCACAACAATATGAACCTGTTTGGGATAAACCATCTTCTAAATCAGATTCAAAATGTGAGTATTTTGTTACTATTTTTTCCTTAACTTTACCACACTATAGAAACATATGCATATATGTTGTACAACTATTTCTGGACATTTTGACAAGGGACTGAGAAAAGATCTACTTATTGAGACTCGGCTCTAGTCAGCCATGTGCTGGAACCAGTTTGTGCAAAGTGGGGTGTTAAAAGTATAAAAATAATAAAAATAACATTGAAATAAGTTTACTTTTTTTTTTAACAGTCATCAAGTACCAAACCGTTTCTTGCTTTTTGGCAGCATACCACTGGCTTAGTAGAAAAACTGATTTCTTACTGGATCGTATTAGAAATGGCTTTCTGTGCAGATAATTCTTAATTACATCAATCCTCCAGTAATACTTCTAGACATGCTAAGGTCATGATCTGAATAAAACATGTTTTTTATGGTTGGTTGTATTAAATATTGATCTGTCTCACCAGCAGGCTACCTTTAAATATCGTGTGTTAATTATCATCGATTTGAATTGTTGCTTTTTGTTTGTTATGGTTGGTTATATTAAATATAGATCTCTCTCATCAGCAGGCTACCTTTACATATCCTTTGTTAATTATCATCAATTTCAATTGTTGCTTTTTGTATTTCTAGATGTAAAACTAATACTTAATTTTTCCTAGCCATTTCTTAAATATACCTTGCAAATTCTGGTAAAAGTCCTTGTTGCTTTGGGTAGCTAACAATAGCTCAAATATAGTGAAATGTTGCAATCTTCCACTAAATGTTGCTGATATTTGACATGATTTATTTTTTTTTAAATCAAAAGGGATTAAGTTATATCTGGGACATTTTAATCACTAATATATACATACCAGTATACATTTGATTCAGAGAACATCCATTAATTAAAAACTTTGCACCAAAAAAATTATTACTTTTAGTGATAAAGCACACCATGTTTGCCAAAACTTATTTGTATTCCTATTTCTCCTCAGCTGTTACTTTAAGTGGTAAAGATCCACTTGTAAACAATGCTACAGAGATTCTACTTGAAGCCCATCAATCCACAGAGCAGGCCAAAGTTTCTGATGCTGAAATAGCAGAGCTTACAAACACACTGGCAGATCTGAAATCTCTGGCAATAGACATCCAAAAAGAACAAGATGATCAAATACAAACAATAGACAGAGTAACAGATTCAGTAACTAAAGCTGATGATCGGGTCAGAGCATTAAATAAGACAATCAACATATTGAATAAATAAATTGAAAACTTTAGGCAAATTTGGGTGAACTAAATACATGACAAAATATTTAAAACCTCTTACCTTCAGATCCACGAAAAATTAAATTTGATCGTTCTTTTAATGAGAAAAATGTTGTGTCAATTAATTTTCTTATTTTTGAATTGTTAGATTGATTACATTTGAAATGGGAATACTGGTATAGATGCCCGAAAATTGTTAATGTGTATCCATTTTAATTAAACTTAGCTATTGGGCTTTTTTTTAAATTGGTGGCTATTAATAGATAGAGTGGTGTACAGTCTCTTTTGGTATTCAGCCAGTTTGCACTGGTATGGCCGAGTCCTTTACTAATTTTTTTGTTATTATGGAAATATCTTAAATAAGCTTTTTTAAATTTTTTTTATTTTGTTAAGTAGTATCTCATATTTTTTCACCAATATTGTCAAACTGGTACTTATAACATAATTTAGTTTTTGTGTAACTCTTTTATTGTTCTTATTTAAGTATAAACTGCATGAAATAATTAACTACCCTTTGTTGTATCATTTGTAATCCTGAAAACGGTCATCAGGGCAGTCAAATCAGGTCAGTCAACCAGTTGCTAAATTGTTTGAATCCTATAACTGTGAATAGCAGAAGCTTGTCAAATATTATATATACTCCAGCTCAGATTGTGTGCATAATAAAATTAAAAATTTTCTATGATGTGTAATATATTTGTGTATGCTGTAACAAGTGATTTTGTTGCTTTGCAAATAACATTTTAATACTCAGTCATGTAATTCAGAATTAATAGTATCTCTCATTTGTTTGAAAAAAGTTAAGTTCTTGGCATTTATTCAGATCAGGTTTATTACAGTAGAAATGTTTTCTACACCATGATTAATTGAGATTTGGGATGATTACGCATTCTTCTGTCAATAAAATGATAAATAAATTTGACATTGCAATAAACATATATCTTGTGTTTCATTAATTGCAATAAACATATATCTTGTGTTTCATTAATTATAATGAAAATATCGCCCAAATCCACCAAAAAAACATTTATTTATAATTGAATAATCTATTGCTAAAAAATCTAATATTGCTAAAATTAGACATCAGTACCTGTTACTAAAAAAAGCAAATCTCTGATTAAATAGAGAATATTCTGTCAATATTAAGTCAAAGATTTTGTTAAATATAAAGAACATTAATATAAAAAAAATCTTTCTATCAAATGTTAACACAGGGAGACTAAAGTCCTTAGAACTTTAAAAAATAAATTGAACTTATAATATGAAATAATGCCAAGTATTTCTTGAATTTCAGATCTACAATTAAATCATAGGACCATTTACTTAATTGCATGTTTATTAATAAGGGCGTGCACCTTAACTATGCTATAGCTTTCAGTTATAAAAAAAAAATCTAACATTGGAATAATAGCTGCATAAATATGTTTATATATATCTATATATATATCTACAAACATGACAGAAACTTATACTGTTTCATTTAATATGTAAGTACATGAAAGCATAAAAGCAAACTTCACCAGGGCAACCTAAAAATGTAAATCGTTTCTCAATCATATCTTAATTAATTTAAGTGTCATGAAATGGTGATTTCAAGTAGGATTGCTTTAGGGAATTTATCTAAAGGCATTTTTATGAATTTTAGCAATTTTAATTTAATGAGATTTCATTGCATCCCGCTCTGTCTAATTAATCCTGGAAAAGTACATTTTTTTCAAATACTTTTTTTTTTCAAATCAGTTATAAATGTTATTTTCTTTTAAATTTTACACAAACACAAAGCGAAATACATTGTAATTTATATTTCAGCTTTTACCAACTTGTGAAAACCGTTTTGACTATTAGCCTAAAATATATTAGTTGATGCAAAATATGAAGAAACATTTATTTCTGTATAGTTTATTGAATATACCATTGATTGAAATATCCTCATTATTTTAAACAAGTGAATTTCTTTGAAAACCTTTCCATTTCAGGTTTTGGAGGAATGACTGGCTAAATAATTGATAGGTTATTTTATTTCAATTTAATTTACATTCATTGACCCTTCATTGCCCCAGAGAAATTCATTTTGTTTGACTTTTTGGGCTAGTTGACACTGGTTCCCCCCCCCCCCAAATCTCTGGCTTCCACCAATCACTACAACTATGCCCCAGGATTCTAAAAACAGCTTGTTTTAAAAGTAGCAACACATACCAGTGATTTTCAACTCCTCCGCATCTTGGGATATACCAAAACTCATTGCTAAAACGCTGCAAATAATAACGTATAATAACGTCTGCCTTCTTTGTTCTGATCCAATAGATCAGGCCTGCACAAAATACGGCCCGCCAGCACCCACTTTGCGGCCCGCGAAGTAACGAAATATTCTTTATTATTATTATTTCCTTAATAGTTTTCCCCCCTGTTCTATTATCTTTCGGCCCGCACACGTTTTTCATGACGTATTACGGCCCACCTTACATTTTGAGTTGCGCAGGCCTGCATAAGATGATTACTTTATTACTGCTGTAGTAGATTAGATTTGTGGTCGGCATGGGGCTCGCTGTATGAATAAATGCATCTCTTTTATTTTCTACCATATGTATATATATATATACCGGTATACCATTTAAACAATCCACCCTTGCCTGTGGCTCCCTATCTATTTTTTAAGCAGATAATTATTTTGATAAAAATCTTAACTCAATAAAGATCGCCGAGCCCTGCATTATATAGTTTATATTATTACAATCCCCCCTCCCATCTATTTGGTTAATTTTTGTCAAATCTTGTTGACACGCCTATGTACCTATTATGACACACCAGTTGGATACTGAATTCGCTTCACAGACACAACAAATTACCGGTCAAAAATGATGCAATTTATGTTCCTATATTTTTTACATCACCTCCATACAATTCATGCATACGATATGAAAATGTCTGTATTTGAAGTTCATCACAACCATCCTTGCACACCTCACTTTGTCAATGTCTAAGTAAGCAGTTTCAAGCAGTTGTTGATGGACCTTGGAGTCTCATGATACTTCTGAGGAAAGAGTTGTTTCTCCTGATTGGCTCTTTAAGTGAGTTTCGTTGTTGGGCCGCGTCGAGTTCTTTCTTGGCCCCCGAAGCTGCCTGCAGGTCAATTTTTTTATACCCGGTTTGGGCAGGTCGGGTCGAGTCGGGAAATCCGAGGCCGGGAAAATACGACCTCGCCGTGTCAGGGGAGATTCCTGTGTGCGGCAAGTGCTTTAAGAACTCTTGCTCCTGGGCCGCGTCTCCCAACCTGTTGTCCGCCGCCGCCTGTGTAGCGTCCCTCCACAAACTTCTCAGCGTGTGCAGTCTGTCCATGAGGGACAACGTGCTCAAGTCGTTGACCCCCGTGCCCCACCCAGAGGTCGCGGGAGAAAATACCCCCCCAGCGTTGACTGTTGGGATCTCGCTTGCAGCCAGCGCGTCGTTGGACCAGGATTCCAGAAGGCCCCCGATCCGCCAAGATCTGGGGACCTGGTTGTACAGATTGGATAACGACGTGGACGGCAGGAAGAATCGGTCCGGGAACATGACGAGAGGAGTCCGCACGTCTCCGATGGAGCTCCCGTGTCCGTGGTTGGCCATGTCAGGCAGGCTGGCTGTTAGGCGGTGACGCAGGGCGTCCAGCTTGTTCTTGAAGGTGTCCGTCGTGTCCATGTAATTGTTGGTCATCATGGGCAGCTGGCGAAACGATCCGATCTCTTGAAGTCGATCCTTGTATTTCGGTTCTGTGGAGGGGAAAATACAAAATACAGCAAATTGCGGGTAAATGGCAGCGACCCGTTAGTTGGTTTGACCAGTTAGGACATTTTGTGATAATAGTGCTTATAGCTGGGCATGGTTGATTTGAAAACTTAATTGCTTATGAGGTTCTAAAACTAAAATTTAAAAAAAATTAGACCACCACAATGAATCGTTCCAAGCTACATGTAAACTTAAATAATTGTAACGACAACATGTTTTCTATCTGCTTAATGAGAAGAATGTCATCCTGAGAAAATGGGCACACGCCTAACGAGCAGCTCAGACAAGGACCAGCCCCCCCCCCACACACAGCTCTTTCACTATCCAGTTTAAATGCAAATGACGTAATAGAAGGGACGTCTCTCCCGTAATAAAATTGGATCGGAGATAAAATACAACGTCCACGTCAGACTGGCAGAAGACTGATGACCTTGTTTTAATGCTGCGGATAAAACTGTTGAGCCGTCGGAGGGTGTTGGTCCAATCCGCTACCTACATAGAAGCTAGACACGATTCACCGGGCTAGGTGGTTTATGTGTTTGAACTTGTCCCCCGGTATATGTAACATTGCTGTATTTAAAAAAAAAATGATAATAATATACAACAAGAAGAGCAGCTTTTTTTTTCTTACTCAAAATCTTAGACAAATCCTAATGGCATACACAGAATCTTAGACAAAACTTAATGCTTTACACAGAATCTTAGACAAAACCTTCATCTTCTTCTTTATTTTGAGGGCCCACGATCAATGAATTGATCATTCTGGCTGAATCTTAGACAAAACCTTATGCTATAAACAGAATCTTAGACAAAAACCTAATGCTATACACATAATCTTAGACAAAACCTAATGCTATACACAGAATCTTAGACAAAACCTAATGCTATACACAGAATCTTAGACAAAACCTAATGCTATACACATAATCTTAGACAAAACCTAATGCAATACACAGAATCTTACATAAAACCTAATGCTATACACATAATCTTAGACAAAACCTATTGCTATAAACAGAACCTTAGACAAAAACCTAATGCTATAAACAGAATCTTAGACAAAACCTAATGCTATACACAGAATCTTAGACAAAAACCTAATGCTGCACACATAATCTTAGACAAAACCTAATGCTATACACAGAATCTTAGACAAAACCTAATGCTATACACATAATCTTAGACAAAACCTAATGGTATACACAGAATCTTAGGCAAAACCTTATGCTATAAACAGAATCTTAGACAAAAACCTAATGCTCTGCAAAGAATCTTAGACAAAACCTAATGCTTTACACAGAATCTTAGACAAAACCTTATGCTATAAACAGAATCTTAGACAAAAACCTATGCTATACACAGAATCTTAGACAAAACCTAATGCTATACACAGAATCTTAGGCAAAACCTTATGCTATAAACAGAATCTTAGACAAAAACCTACTGCTCTGCACAGAATCTTAGACAAAACCTAATGCTTTACACAGAATCTTAGACAAAACCTTATGCTATAAACAGAATCTTAGACAAAAACCTAATGCTATACACAGAATCTTATACAAAACCTAATGTTATACACAGAATCTTAGACAAAACCTAATGCTATACACAGAATCTTAGACAAAACCTAATGCTCTGCACAGAATCTTAGACAAAACCTAATGCTTTACACAGAATCTTAGACAAAACCTTATGCTTTAAACAGAATCTTAGACAAAACCTAATGCTATACACAGAATCTTAGATAAAACCTAATTTTACACAGAATCTTAGACAAAACCTAATGCTATACCCAGAATCTTAGACAAAACCTAATTTTACACAGAATCTTAGACAAAACCTAATGCTATACACAGAATCTTAGACAAAAACCTAATGCTATACACATAATCTTAGACAAAACCTAATGCTATAAACAGAATCTTAGACAAAACCTAATGCTACACACAGAATGTTAGACAAAACCTAATGCTATACATGAAACTAATGAAAGGCCGAGGATCTTCAAATGCATACGGAAGACGAAGTAATGATGTAGTTTAAAAAAAAAAAAATTAATTACAATAATGTTAAAACATGCGATGAAGTAAAAACAATAGTACCGATACTGCTCGGCACATAGGTAAGAACAATGACCAAGTGGCATGCAGGTAGGAAAAAAATAGAGGCACT